CCCTGCTTTATCAACACAACTTATACCTATGGTCGATAGTCTATTTTATTTTTGCAATTTATGATTTTTTAAATAATTTACACCTCGATTAGTTTTATACTTTTACTTTTATTACAGGGCTTATTTTGCAAATATAAAACACTATAGCATCGAATTTAATAAGTTGACTGTACAGCATAAGTAAAGTACTATTTCAATCCCATCCTACAACACGTTTTGTAACTTCATTATTAATTTCATTCTTGTACAAAGCTTCTTTTACAATGGTTTAAATAAAAAATAATCAGAGACATGGAAATGTTTTATTACATGTAATTAAACAAAGAATCAATGAGATCAGGCATATATCATTAAGTGTATCAATTTTTGTTCGAAACCATATCAAATCAAAATGAATTTGTTTTCTAACTTCTGTTAGTGTATAGTGTAATAGTCCACGAGGCAGAGCCAAAAAAGTCTGAATTTATTAAGCCTGGTTTTTTCTCAGGTGATTATAATCATAATTTACAATAAAATACGCTCAGTCCAGCGGATATTAGAACAGGTGTCTCAGGTGCGCGTTCAAACATGTCGTACCCACCGACATAACAAAATCAATTTCTTATGGCTGAAACTTTATGAACTTTTGTTTTTTATATGTAAATCAAAATTATGATAGTCAGTCAACGTCCTATGGGGACACAGCTGGTCAGTCAGCTGTGTACATACGTAGCGAGGTTTATAAGGGTGCAATTCGTTTATTAAGCGTGTTTTTTTTTAGTAACTACTACTGACTATATTATTAATAAATAAAATGGTCAGTCAACCATTCCGTAGAACAACGGCCGTCAGTCAGTGAATAAGAAATGAAATTTTTTCGCTCTCTATGGACTTACACGCGGCAACTCGTTTTTTACTTATAATTTACTTAAAATAAAATAATATTATCATAATCATTCATCAAATCATCGTACTTCACGACATTTATTTTAATAAGGCACTTCCGTGTCGCAGTTTTGCCTAAAAATCCCAGAAATTAAATTCCTTCGAATACAACAGTGTACTTAACGAACGTAGGTATATACACAGGTAAGAACTCATTGATTTATTTTTAAACATTTTTGACTCATATTTATTTATTTCATAAAGGATACAAAATTCTAACAATTTATAAATTATCATCAGATAATTTCTCATCTGAAGCTTCAATCTCGTCAAGCTCAGATGTTTCAGACTGAGAATCTAAAAAATAAATAAAATTCATTAAAAAAATATTTTTGTGATTGTTTTAGCTTTCTTGTTTTTACAAGAAAGGTAAAACAATATCTGCACTACTGTTCGATACTTTGTGAATTGTTAGAAATAGTTAACACTAAAGTTTAAATTTAAATGCTGGTTTATTAAATTTAAACATAGATATGTAAAACATATAATTAATTATTATTGACACTAACGCTTATTTTAGAGGTATGTTAACATGAGGTAAGATCATATTTACAATATTAAAGCTACAACAAAAACATTTTTGAAGTAAGTATTCATCATTAAAACATTATAAAAAATATAAAAGCTTGAACTTATTTACGAGTAAGTAATAATTTGTTCTTATTTTTGTTAATTGCTAAAGGAAAGATGTAGCTTATTGAAGATATATCACACCACGGAACCGTACTAGTAGAGGGTATCACAGTGCAAGGTGCTAAATGCTAAATCTTGTTGTTTAATATTATTTTTATGTTAGTTACAAAATGTGTAGTGTTTCATATTAAGTACATAATATTTGCAATGAACTATCGAAACCCAGATACAAATAATTCCAAATATGATTGCCGTGATATATAAACTATTATAAGGTTAAAAATTTAAGGAACGGAGGTTAAATAAGCCAAACATTAATAAAATTAAAATCATTTACGTCGTCCATCGATCACGAGATTGCAGACTAGAACGAAATTTGGACATGTGTTTGATCGGGTTGTTATGGGGATATCAGGCCTGTCGGAAACTTGAAGTACCTATAAGGGTTTTAATTTAATTGTTTATTGTTGTCACGCCGGGCCCAAACGTTCGAGCTAGGCATCCGAGAGAAAAAGCTGCAGCTCGGAGCACGGGGCGATTGTTAGTACGAAATATATCGATATATATATATTAGTGTTGCCCAAAATCGGTCTTGGTCTTGCAGTCTTGGTCTTGTTCTTGCATTTTTGCAAGACCAAGACCAAGAACAAGACCGCCTCTTTTTAGCAAGACCAAGACCAAGACTAATTGTGCAAGATTTGCGCAAGAACAAGACTAAGCTTGCGAGACTCTTGCGTCTTGCAGTTAGGACTAAGTGTCGTTTCAGGGAGTATACGCTTAGGGACTCTATGAGACGCAAAAAAATATAACGAAAAAAAATTGGAAAATTGGACTATGCGCATTACGAACAATACCATAAACATACATAGCGAGTGAAAATATCCATTAAAAGAAAAAGAGTGCATACTTAGTTTTGACCATCGACACTGATAGTGCGTGACGTCTTGTGTCGGCGTCATCAAAGGTCGGATACTGACCTGTCAAAGAAATTGTGCAGCTATTCGAAAGTACAAGGTCAAGATACACGTGCCGGCGGCTACTATTGATATCGCATAATCGTCGCCGCCGCGCCGCACGCACTACATTTGACACCGTTTGGTTGCCGCCACAGAGTACATGTTTCAAAGAATAAAATAAGTTTCCGGGTGCTCAGAATGGACCCGAATACATTATGCTAATCTCGCAAGAAATATTGTAATTAGATAATAGGTAGGTATCATAATAATTTATTCTAGTAAGTAATTATTATAAAATTAACTATATGGATTTATAATAATTACTTACTATTATTGTTATTATTATTACCTAAAAGATAAACATGTTCAGTAAGTTCACTGCAAATCTCGACTTTTGCAAGTGTGTGTTTTTAAAACACAAAGTGCTCGAATATGTCGTCACGCATATGATTAATATGGTTGACACCATAGCACTTTTAAAACACTTGAAATGTGTAAAAATGGATCTGGATCTTGTCTTCAAGGCTTAGTTAATAAGGAGTTGGAGGGGTACCTAGGTAAACCCAGAGCCGTCATCTCGGAAGACATTTTAGACTGTTGGAGGATGCATGAGACAAAATATCCGATTTTATCGAAGATGGCCCGTGATTTTCTTTTAATACCTGCAACTTCAGTACCTGCTGAGAGATTATTTTCTAAAGCATCATTAGTAATTAGAAAACATAGAAATAGGTTAAGTGATGAGTCAGCCAGATGGTTACTTTGTATTAATGCTTTGTCAAAAGAATAAATATAAAGTAACAGTAATGTCAAAGCTGTTGTGTACATACTGTGAAGTAATTTAATTTGCATCGTATTTTATTTTTTATTTAAATAAATGGTATATTGTATAACTCTTTTATTCCATTTCATATATGGTGAGGGTCCATCAATCTCTTTCTAGAGAGATAATGTTATTTAAAATACAGTGTAGTTATTGCCATTAATTTGTTTTTATATGTATGTTTAACCATGTTTTAGCACATGTAAGCTTATTAAATGTAAACGTTTATTAAGAAACTGACGCCCGTGGCCGTGGGACACGGTAGATAGCTCAGTTGGTTAGAGCATCGGCACGGATCGCTTAGGTCGAGGGTTCAAACCCCACCCGGTGTCAGTTGATTTTTCGAATTTCTCATTAAATGTTTAGACATTTATTAATATGGTTGGTCTTTACTATGGCTATGTTAATTCAAGCTCAATATGTACCTACTCTGTTAAGTTGTTCTAAGATCTAAAGTAACGTTTAATAAATAGTAATAGGCTAATAGATCATTGCAAGACTTGCGAGACTCTTGCTGCAAGACCAAGACCAAGACCAAGACTGGGAGCGCAATACCAAGACCAAGACCAAGACCAGGTGTATTGGCGCAAGACCAAGACCAAGACTTGCTAAGTTTCGTCTTGTTCTTGCATTTGGGCAACACTAATATATATGTACTACGCACTAGATTTCGCATTCCGAACATTGACTATGTTCATCATAACTGTACTGCAATCCGTACATTAAAAAACTAAATATTGCGTAAATTGAAGGTTTGCGAATTCTATAAGATAATTTTTTACATTTTATTTAGAAATATGTTTGTTTAAATTAAAATAAGAGTATTTTATGTTAAATTCTTATATTTATTTTATATTAATATCTTATTTTATATTAAATTAGTATTCGCGTATGCGCGACTCTATTATCTGCTATCTCCCGCGCATGCGCGAAGACAGAGTAGCGCACAATTTTTGTTTGGGTAGGTAATACATATAACTCAATGATGAAATATGACGAAATTATCCTTTACTATCTTGTGTGCTCTCCAAAACTAGACCTATTTAATGTTTTTTTCAAGAAAAATATAAGGATTATAACTATGTATGTTTTTAGTTTATTTTTATGCTTGTTACATTTGTTTGCTCCGATGTCTTAATTACCGTGGTTTACCTGGGCAGTTTTAGTAATTTAAAGTTTCCAATTTTTTTTTAAATTTATTAATGGTAGAAGCAAAACATAGTAAAATGGCAGTGGTAGATATAGATAGTATCATAAAAACGGTTTTTCCTAGTCGTTAGGAAAACTAAGGAAGATATTATTTTAGATTTATGTTAAAGTTCTAGCGTCATTATTCAGAGAGAAAACATGGCCAACCCCATAGATCAGAGATTTGGTTACTCTCCCAGGCAAACGGGCGTAGATAAAATTTTTAAATTAATATAGATTTGTTAAGTTCTATCTGAAAATATTTTCATAGTTTCATGTAGTAGATTATATTTGTAAAAATGTTCATTCCTAATGTTCTAAAACATTTAATACCTCAGTATCTCGACAAAACAACAATTATCTGTTACGTAGAGCAATTTTCTAGAGCACTTTAATAAATTAAAAAATATATTTACAAAATACACTACTAGACTAGAGTGGAAAGTACTAAGTCACAGATGAGTTAGAAACTCGTGTTAAACATTGGAAACCGATCCGTCGAGTGGGTCTTGGAGCACGTGGGGCACGTGGGGCACGTGGGGCGCGGGGGGCACGTGGGGCTCGGCGTGCAGCAGGGCGGCGCGCTCGGGCGGCGGCGCGCCCATCGCCAGCGCGAGCGCGGCTGACACGCTGTGCGCGCGCAGCGCACACGCGTCCAGGCCCTCTACCTGTTCCAGCTTCTTGATCACATCCGTCGAAGCGTTGTAGAATATCAACTGCTGTTCGTTCGCTTCGAACTCCTTGATTAACCGTGCCAGGGTCTGTGTAAAATGATTTCAGTTAAAATTAAAGTGGTAAGTACTTAAATTTTTGGCATTCCTTGAGGGAGGCCTATGTTTAGCAGCGGACTTGTGGAAAAACTGTAATAATGATGATGATGATGAAGTATGTAGCACGGCACGCTTAATGATAGGTAAGACTCTTACGACCAACTGATGGCGTGAAATTCGCCCAAGCACGCTAAACCCAAACTTCCAGTTTATTTATAAAAGGATTAACAGTACGACATTCTCAGCTGTATGTTAACCGATCCAATGAGTATAGGCAGATCTTTGGAACACTTTACCACCTAGCACATTCTTGTATAAACGAGAAGTTACGACTATTGTCTCCGCTCGTTCTTCCTTCATCATTAGTTTCAAATTCTCCCGATTGTGTCGCACAATATGCGTTATATCTGACTTCAGCAGATTAGAACATATCATATTTTTACTGTGATATCATTATTTCAAAGTTTAAATTCGAGTGATTGAAGCCACCTTTTAAACAAATGAGTCTTATGCCGCAAGATACCACTTTTCTACAGCCATATAAACAAAAGTTATACAAAGCGCCAACGGCGCGCGCCAAGCACTCGGTGAAGCGAGCCGCGTTCAGGTAGAATATGATGTGTGAGTGTACAGTGCAGTGTGCACAGTGTGTACAGTGGCGGCGAGTGCATACCTGCGAGGCCGCGTAGTCGAGCATGGCGAGCACGCCGCAGTCGACGAGCACGAGGCGGTGCGCGGCGGCGACTCGCGTCAGTCGCTCGGCGAAGCGCGCCGCGTTCAGGTAGAATATGATGTGTGAGTGTACAGTGCAGTGTGCACAGTGTGTACAGTGGCGGCGAGTGCATACCTGCGAGGCCGCGTAGTCGAGCATGGCGAGCACGCCGCAGTCGACGAGCACGAGGCGGTGCGCGGCGGCGACTCGCGTCAGTCGCTCGGCGAAGCGCGCCGCGTTCAGGTAGAATATGATGTGTGAGTGTACAGTGCAGTGTGCACAGTGTGTACAGTGGCGGCGAGTGCATACCTGCGAGGCCGCGTAGTCGAGCATGGCGAGCACGCCGCAGTCGACGAGCACGAGGCGGTGCGCGGCGGCGACTCGCGTCAGTCGCTCGGCGAAGCGCGCCGCGTTCAGGTAGAATATGATGTGTGAGTGTACAGTGCAGTGTGCACAGTGTGTACAGTGGCGGCGAGTGCATACCTGCGAGGCCGCGTAGTCGAGCATGGCGAGCACGCCGCAGTCGACGAGCACGAGGCGGTGCGCGGCGGCGACTCGCGTCAGTCGCTCGGCGAAGCGCGCCGCGTTCAGGTAGAATATGATGTGTGAGTGTACAGTGCAGTGTGCACAGTGTGTACAGTGGCGGCGAGTGCATACCTGCGAGGCCGCGTAGTCGAGCATGGCGAGCACGCCGCAGTCGACGAGCACGAGGCGGTGCGCGGCGGCGACTCGCGTCAGTCGCTCGGCGAAGCGCGCCGCGTTCAGGTAGAATATGATGTGTGAGTGTACAGTGCAGTGTGCACAGTGTGTACAGTGGCGGCGAGTGCATACCTGCGAGGCCGCGTAGTCGAGCATGGCGAGCACGCCGCAGTCGACGAGCACGAGGCGGTGCGCGGCGGCGACTCGCGTCAGTCGCTCGGCGAAGCGCGCCGCGTTCAGGTAGAATATGATGTGTGAGTGTACAGTGCAGTGTGCACAGTGTGTACAGTGGCGGCGAGTGCATACCTGCGAGGCCGCGTAGTCGAGCATGGCGAGCACGCCGCAGTCGACGAGCACGAGGCGGTGCGCGGCGGCGACTCGCGTCAGTCGCTCGGCGAAGCGCGCCGCGTTCAGGTAGAATATGATGTGTGAGTGTACAGTGCAGTGTGCACAGTGTGTACAGTGGCGGCGAGTGCATACCTGCGAGGCCGCGTAGTCGAGCATGGCGAGCACGCCGCAGTCGACGAGCACGAGGCGGTGCGCGGCGGCGACTCGCGTCAGTCGCTCGGCGAAGCGCGCCGCGTTCAGGTAGAATATGATGTGTGAGTGTACAGTGCAGTGTGCACAGTGTGTACAGTGGCGGCGAGTGCATACCTGCGAGGCCGCGTAGTCGAGCATGGCGAGCACGCCGCAGTCGACGAGCACGAGGCGGTGCGCGGCGGCGACTCGCGTCAGTCGCTCGGCGAAGCGCGCCGCGTTCAGGTAGAATATGATGTGTGAGTGTACAGTGCAGTGTGCACAGTGTGTACAGTGGCGGCGAGTGCATACCTGCGAGGCCGCGTAGTCGAGCATGGCGAGCACGCCGCAGTCGACGAGCACGAGGCGGTGCGCGGCGGCGACTCGCGTCAGTCGCTCGGCGAAGCGCGCCGCGTTCAGGTAGAATATGATGTGTGAGTGTACAGTGCAGTGTGCACAGTGTGTACAGTGGCGGCGAGTGCATACCTGCGAGGCCGCGTAGTCGAGCATGGCGAGCACGCCGCAGTCGACGAGCACGAGGCGGTGCGCGGCGGCGACTCGCGTCAGTCGCTCGGCGAAGCGCGCCGCGTTCAGGTAGAATATGATGTGTGAGTGTACAGTGCAGTGTGCACAGTGTGTACAGTGGCGGCGAGTGCATACCTGCGAGGCCGCGTAGTCGAGCATGGCGAGCACGCCGCAGTCGACGAGCACGAGGCGGTGCGCGGCGGCGACTCGCGTCAGTCGCTCGGCGAAGCGCGCCGCGTTCAGGTAGAATATGATGTGTGAGTGTACAGTGCAGTGTGCACAGTGTGTACAGTGGCGGCGAGTGCATACCTGCGAGGCCGCGTAGTCGAGCATGGCGAGCACGCCGCAGTCGACGAGCACGAGGCGGTGCGCGGCGGCGACTCGCGTCAGTCGCTCGGCGAAGCGCGCCGCGTTCAGGTACAGCAGAGCGCGCGTCGGCCGCGCCCGGCACACCTCGCCCCACCGGCTCTGCGCATTTTAATAGAAGTCGAGGTGACGAACACGTTTATCACGTGGTAGAGCCGCGCTGCAGCTATTAATTGTATGGTTGTAGCACAAATGGGTCGGTTCAACCGGGGAAGGACCACGTTCTCACAAAATACCAGCGTAAAATAACAGCTTAATGCTGCTGTGTTTCGTATGGTGACTGTAGAGAACCGAACACCCTATTTATTGTAAACGAGGTATTCCATCTTAGTCCTCAGGGTTGACAACGCATCTGCATTTTGATTCTTAATTGAAGATAAGTATATATGTCTATGGGCCACGGTATCCACTTACCATCAGGTGGACGTGTGCTCGTTTGTCACCCTATGCTATAAAAAACAAGCACAGTAAACCTGATGGTAAGTGGATACTGTGAACATTTAGATTTCAGATGAGTTGTCACCCCTGAGGACTAAGATGGAATGTCTCGTCCGAGCAAAAAGGGTATCCGATTCTCTACACTCACCATAAGCGAAACACAGCTTGAGAGCGTGATCTTGCCCGGTTGACCCGACCTATATAGCTGCAGCGTGACGCTACAACGGATAAATGCATCACACAGGTTTCGTCGCGACCTGCTGGTTCGGGCGTTATATGTCATACAGCTAACATTTCTTCTTCTACATTATCGGCCTATAAGTTTTCATCGCTGCATATGGACTCTATACGTTATTGTTTGCCATAATCGTCATTCTTGTCAGACGAACTACCGATTGCAGTAGTAGACGACTCACAGCTTTGAAGCCGTTTTCATCACCGATCTGAGTAATATACGTTAGTATAAATGAGACAATTATATTTATAACTCCATCTATCGATAGTTCTGAAACATTTAAACGTCAAAAATTACGTACGTCGAACCTATTCATTGGCGTTTCGCGTCGTGCGTCGTGCATGACCTTGGCGGGACGTACAGCAAGATGGATCGTGTATAAGACGTTTTATCCTATAGTCAACTCTTACGACATCCACGCGACAAATTCATAACATTATGCAAACTTAAACTTCTTAAAAATCTACTACACCACAATATTACTGCAAAATAAAATTATGTTAAATTTTAAAATCTTATACAGTATTTCATAATTACTAAAAGTTCATCAAAAATGAATCTTAGATAAAATTGTAATTTTGTACGATTTTAAGATTGACAAGCTCAAATTGGACTCGATTACAATTAATATTTATCATATGGTATGATTAAATTATTTTAACTGATAAAAACTTATAAGTTTATTCTCTGCCTGTATCATAATGTTTACTGTAAATTGCAATTTTCTAACCAAATAATTGTTAAATTTATGATTAAGTCAAAAAATAATGTGCGATGTATAGTTGGCAGTATTCAGTATGTAGTATATAGTGCCCATGATGCAATAAGCGATGTGTAGTATGTAGTGCCCGTGATGTAATAAGCGGTGTATACTGTGTACTATGTAGTTTGTACCATGTATTACTCAGTATGCCGTGCGCGATGTGCTGATAGCATTGCTCGGTGTGTGGTGCGTAGCACTCATTAAATAGTGAGTAATGTGTAGTATATAAAATGCAGTGTGTAGTGTATAGTGCGCGGTATACAGTTTGCGATATGTAGTGTGCAATGTGTAGTGTCTGCTATGCAGTGAGCGATGTGTAGTGTGCAATGTGTTGTGCTCGGTGTGTAGAATGTGGTGAGTAGAATGCAATGTGTAGTGACTGTTAGGCAGTGAGTGGTGTGTAGTGTGTAGTGTTCGGTATGCAGTGTTTTGTTTTATAGAAGGGGTTAGAAAATGCAGCGCCAGTGAATCAAGCCGATCAGAAAGATCTCGGTAGTCGACGATTCGAACTGCTCTGCGCTGAATGCAGTCAAGTAGAAGGAGCTGGCAGTGGGGTACCCCGGCCCAGAGATAAGAACAGTATTCCATGTGAAGGCGAACTTGCGCTTTGTAAAGTTGCAAGCGATGTGCCGGCATGAAATACTGTCTCCCTCTGCTGAGCACGCCAAGCTTTTTAGAGGCCAATTTGGCCTTCCCTTCCAAATGACGACGAAACTTCACACTACTCAATATGTTGACGCCGAGGATTCCGAAGCTAGCTAAGGCAGCAAGGGGAGTGCCTTGAAACTGAGGAGATACGACAAATCGGTTCTTTTTAGCGGTAAACGCGCAAACTTGTGTCTTCTGGGGATTGAACTGGACTAGATTTAGTCGCCCCAAATCCAAGACTTTGTTCAGCAAAGACTCGACTTCAGGCACAAGTAATGAATGTTACTAGCTTGCAACATATTATTTTTAGCATACAGTCCACCTGATCGTAAGTGGTTGCTGTGACCCATAGACATCTACATCTGTCCCAATAAAGAATCAAAATGCAGATGCGTTGTCACCCGTGAGGGCTAAGATAGAATGCCTCTTTATCAGTAAAAAGGGTCTCCGGTTCTCTACACTCACCATATGACACACATCAGTGTTGATCTGCTATTTTACGCTGTTATTCTGTGAGAGCGTGGTCCTTCTCCAGTTGAGCTGACCCATCCGTGGTACAACTATACTACTAATATAGCTGCAGCCATGGCTCTACTACGTATAAAATCATTGATATGCAGAAGAAACAGCGTTGGTGATAGCACGCAGCCTTGTGGAACACCAGCGTTAGTAGATTTGTAATCAGAGCATACACCGTATGCTACGACCTAGATGCTCCAATTAGCAAGAAAACTGGTGATCTAATTGCACAATTTCTCGGGAAGCTCATAGGAAGGGAGCTTTGAAAGAAGCGCTTTGTGCCAGACCCGATCAAAGGCCTTTGCTATGTCCGACCTAACAACCTATGCCTCCCCCTTGAACTTTACTGCTTTCGCTCATCTATGAGCCAGGTAGACCAGAAGATCACCAGCTGATCGACCCCGACAAAAACCGTATTGGCGGTCACTAATCAGCTGAAGATCTTCAAGGTACTGGTAGCTGGTAGTTTATGATGGACTTCATTATTTTAGAGAACAAGGAGGTGATGGCGATAGGCCTGTAGTTGTAAGGGTCTAAACGGTTGCCTTTTTTAGGGATCGAGTGGACCAAAGCTGTCTTTCATGAATTCGGGACTATGCTTTGGAGTAGGATGGGATGGGAATAGATAGGAGTACCGGAAAAGATCGTTAAAACCGGTGCCACGTCAGGTCTTCAGCACAATGTGGGGGACTCCATCAGGCCCACTCGACTTGTTGACGTCCAGGGAGCAGAGTGCTTTGCGAACGGAGCGCTGTGTAAACCGCACATCCAGCATGGAGCACTTACACCACGGGATGGTCGGAGTGTGTTCCCCTTGTCATCGAGAGTACCAAGCGAAAAGCAGAAGTAAACCTTTACTTCACGCTGTTATTCTATTTCTTAGAGTCTTATTCTTCAAGAAAGGTGACAACGCTCTCTTGAAGAACTACAGACCGATTTCCCTTCTGAGCCGCGTCTACGTGCTGTTTTCGAGAGTCATTACGAATCGTCTCGCACGCAGACTTGACGACTTCCAGTCTCCTGAACAAGCCGGTTTCCGAAAAGGCTTTAGCACCATGGGCCAAATACATACCCTTCGGCAAATTGTAAAGAAGTCAGAGGAGTACAATTTGCCACTATGTCTGGCGTATGTGGACTATGAGAAAGCCTTTGATTCCGTCGAAATTTGGGCGGTGCAAAGTTGACTGTCGGTATATCGAAGTGCTGAAGTGTTTGTACAGTAGAGCTACGATGGCTATCCGAGTACAGAATCAGAGTACGAAACTTATCCAACTACACAGAGGTATAAGACAGGGTGACGTTATATCCCTGAAACTCTTCACCGCTGCATTGGAAGACGTTTTCAAGCTACTGGACTGGAAAGGATGCGGTATCAACATCAATGGCAAGTACATCACTCACCTTCGATTTGCTGATGATATAGTCCTTATGGCAGAATCGCTGGAGGACCTAAGAACTATGCTCAATGACCTCAATAGTGTCTCCCAACGGATAGGTCTTAAGATGAACATGGACAAAACAAAACTAATGTTTAACGTCCATGTCACACTTATGCCGGTAGTTGTTGGGAGCACTAAGATCGAAGTTGTTGTCGAGTATGTTTACCTGGGACAAATAGTCCGACTAGGTAAGTCCAACTTCGACCGAGAGGTCAATCGACGGATTCAACTCGGCTGGGCAGCGTTCGGGAAACTACGACACATCTTATCGCTAGACATACCTCAAAACCTGAAAACGAAATTGTACAACCAGTGCGTGTTGCCAGTGATGACTTACGGATCTGAGACGTGGTCCTTCACTACTGGCCGTATGAGGAAGCTCAAGGTCGCTCAGCGAGCTATGGAGAGGGTTATGCTCGGGATTTCTCTGCGTCATAAACTTAGAAATGAGGATATCCGCAGTAGAACCAGAGTAACCGGCATAGCCCAACGGATTAGTAAGCTAAAGTGGCAGTGGGCCGGCCATATAGGTTGAAGAACCGACATCCGATGGGGAAGAAAGGTTCTCGAGTGGCAGCCTCGTACCGGCAGGCTAAGTGTAGGGCGACCCCTCACTAGATGGAGTGACAATATGGTAAGACATGCAGGAAGTCGATGGATACAGGCGGCTCAGGACCGTGCTTTGTGGCATTACTTGGGGAAGGCCTATGTTCAGCAGTGCACTTATGAAAGGCTGTAATGATGATGATGAATATGTTATTGTGCGGTGTGTAGAGTGCAATATGTAATAATTGGTGTGTAGCGTCTAATGTGTAGTATTCGGTGTGTAGAGTGCGGTGTATAAGGTGCAATGTTTAGTTCTCGGTGTGCAGTGTTTAGTATGTAGTGTACAACGTTCATTTCATGATGTGTAGAGTGTGGCGTGTAGTGTGCAATGTGTAGTGATCGTTATACAGTAAACATCTGAGGTAAGTAGTGTGCAATGTGTAGTGCTTGATATGCAGTTAATGGTGTGTAGTGTGTAATATACGCTATGTAGGTGTTTTTAACGGTGGTAGAGCCACGCAGCAGTTTTTGCTGTTGCATGTATGGGCCGGCTCGAGCCGGGTTGGTACCACGACCTCCCCCCCATCAACATACCCCTGGAGAATCCCTCGCTGAGCATCCACGACCATGTTATTCCGATCCTGAGCGTGGGTGCTCAGGCTGCCCCGCGTATTCTGGGGGGGGGCAAAATTCCGCTCAAAAGCATAACTGCTAGGGGCAAACTGAGCAAGAACACCAAGGCGACCCCTGCCACGCTATCCGTGAATTTCTGCAACATCAGGAGACTTCACTCTAACCTAAACGCCGTCCACTACCATCTCGAGACGGCGAAGCCGGCCTTGCTCTTTCTGACCGAGACGCAGATTTCCTCTCCGGCTGATATTTCGTATCTCTCCTACCCGGGGTACAAATTGGAGCATTCCTTTGTACCTCGGGCTGGAGTTTGCGTGTATGTCAGAGAGGACATCTGTTCTCGACGCCTCGGCAGTCTTGAAGGTTCGGACCTGTCCATCCTTTGGCTACGCGTAGACAGCGACGACCATCCGCGCGTCTACGGGTGCCTCTATAGGTCCCATAGCGGTAATGCCGAAACAGACCGACTCATTGACCACGTCCAAATGGCTACAGATTCCTTGCTACAACAGGTCCCATCCGCAGAGATCGTGATCCTTGGCGATTTTAACGCCCACCATGCCGAATGGCTCGGTTCACGTCTAACCAATCATGCGGGGAGATCTGTTTATGACTTTGCCTTGGCATATGGTCTGACACAACTGGTTACTTCGCCTACGCGGATTCCAGATGTGGAGGATCATACACCTTCCATGTTGGACCTTCTGCTGACCTCTCATCCGGACGGATATCTGGTTTCCGTCGATGCCCCTCTCGGCTCTTCGGACCATTGTCTGATCCGGAGTGTAGTGCCACTCACGCTCCCTTCGCGGTTGCGTTCTGCAGGTTGCCGCCGTGTTTGGCATTACAGGTCGGCGGATTGGGACGAAATGCGGTCTTTCTTTGCATCCTACCCATGGGGGCGGGTTTGCTTCTCGCCGGATGATCCCAGCGCTGTTGCTGACTCTGTCACTGATGTGGTGCTACAGGGAATGGAACTATTTATTCCATCATCTGTGGTACCCATCGGAGGCAGATCTCAGCCTTGGTTTGGTCGCTCCTGTAAGACTGCATTACGCAGTAAGCAGGAGTGTTATCAAGCCTGGGCTGCGGCTTCGGCGACTCGGGATGTAAATACCAGCACACTTAAAAAGAAGTATAACTTCGCCTCCAGGTCCTTCAAAAGAGTTATTGCCAGGGCAAAGTCAGAGCACATAGGCAGAATTGGCGAGAAACTAGTTCGCCTTCCTTCGGGAACCCGTGCATTCTGGTCTCTCGCCAAGGCTGTCCAAGGGAATTTCTGTAAGCCATCACTACCATCTCTGCACAAGGAGGATGACTCACTGGCCCATGACGCAAAAGACAAAGCCGACCTTTTAGGCTCCCTTTTTGCGTCCAACTCGACTCTTGATGACGGGGGGAAATCGGTTCGCAAAGCACTGCTCTCCCTGGATATCCAGAAGTCGAGGGGGCCTGACGGAATCCCCCCAATTGTGCTGAGGAAGTGTGCTCCGGAGTTGGCACCGGCCCTAACGCGTCTTTTCCGGTACTCCTACTCCCAAGGCGTAGTCCCGAATTCATGGAAGACAGCTTTTGTCCACCCGATCCCTAAAAAAGGCGACCGCTCAGACCCATCCAACTATAGGCCTATCGCGATCACCTCCTTGTTCTCCAAAATAATGGAATCCATTATTAACTGCCAGCTCATCCGGTACCTTCAGGATCACCAGCTGATTAGTGACCGCCAATACGGTTTTCGTCGGGGTCGATCAGCTGGTGATCTTCTGGTCTACCTGACCCATAGATGGGCGGAGGCAGTAGAGTCCAAGGGGGAGGCGTTGGCCGTTAGTCTGGACATTGCGAAGGCCTTCGATCGGGTTTGGCACAAAGCGCTTCTTTCGAAGCTCCCTTCCTATGGGCTTCCCGAGAAATTGTGCAATTGGATCACCAGCTTCCTTGCAGATCGGAGCATCAAGGTCGTTGTAGACAGTGCATGCTCTGACTACAAGCCTATTAACGCTGGTGTTCCACAAGGTTGTGTGCTATCACCAACGCTGTTTCTTCTGCATATTAATGATATGTTGCTAACTGGTAACATTCATTGCTATGCGGATGACAGCACTGGAGATGCTCTATACACCGGCCGTGCCAATATTTCTCGGGAAAACGTCGCTGAGTACCGGAACAAACTTGTGTCTGAAGTCTAGTCTTTGCTGAGCAAAGTCTCGGATTGGGGGTGACTAAATCTAGTCCAGTTTAATCCTCAGAAGACACAAGTTTGCACGTTTACCGCTAAAAAGAACCCCTTTGTCGTATCTCCTCAGTTTCAAGGCACCCCCTTTCTTGCCTCAGCCAGTATCGGTATCCTCGGAGTCGATATATCGAGTGACGTGCAGTTTCGTGGTCACTTGGAAGGGAAGGCCAAATTGGCCTCTAAAAAGCTTGGCGTGCTCAGGCAGAGCGGGACAGTATTTCATGCCGGCACACCGCCTGCAACTTTACAAGGCGCAAGTTCGGCCTCACATGGAATACTGTTCCCATCTCTGGGCAGGGGCTCCCCAGTGCCAGCTCCTTCCACTTGACCGCATCCAACGCAGAGCTGCTCGAATCGTCGACGACCGAGCCCTTTCCGATCGGCTCGATTCATTGGCACTGCGAAGAGATGTTGCATCCCTTTGCATTTTCTTTCGCATCTACCATGGGGAGTGCTCTGAGGAATTGTTTGGATTAATCCCAGCCGCCAAATTTCACGAACGCACATCGCGGCAGAACTCCCGATACCATCCACACCATCTGGATGATTGGCGGTCCACCACTGTGCGATTTAGAAGATGTTTTCTTCCTCGCACCACCTCCTTGTGGAATCGATTACCATCAGCGATTTTTCCGGACCGATACGACTTAGGGACCTTCAAGAAAAGAGCGTACTCCTTTTTAAAAGGCCGGCAACGCATCTGCGATTCCCCTGGTGTTGCAGTTGTTCATGGGCGGCGGTAGTCACTTACCATCAGGTGAGCCGCATGCTCGTTTGCCCTCTCTCCTATAAAAAAAAATGTAGGTAGTGTTTTGTGCTCTATACACAATGAGCGGTAGTGTATATTACTCAGTATACGGTGAATAAAGTGCAGTGTTTATAGTGCAGCGGTATATAGCGGTTTAGTGTGTAGTGCAGAGTTTTGGCGGGAACTTGACCGGCGGCGGATTGCTGCTTCTTGTATTATTGTTTAAATAATTGTTTGAAGTGGATTTTGATATGTAAAAGTGGTGCGATTTTGTGTATTAAATATCTGCGTATGTCAACTATTAGAAGAAACGGTGGAACAAGTGCTACGATTGTGATGTGAATCTCAAGATAAGGTCTCTGTCTGCTTAGGCGCCTTGGGATACTATCGCCAACATTCTTCTGGCTCAAGTTGCCGTAGAAATCTCCCAAGGACTACGCAATGTGACGCATGCACATATTATGAAGCAGCAGGATTATTATAACTTGATACTGAAAATCTCTAAAAACGAAGATGCTGAATGAAATGAAGACATGGCTTAGAGGACAAGTATCCAAGGCAAAAATCTAAGACAAAGAAGTGTAGTAGTCGGTATGTAGTGCGTGGTATGTGGTTTGCAGCGTGTACCTTGAGCGTGTGCAGGTGCAGCGGCGCGCGGCGCAGCGCCAGGTGCGTGGCGGCCAGCCCGGCCAGCGCGCCGCACAGCACGGCCAGCTCCACGCTGCGCCACACGCCCACCACGAACGTCAGCAGCGCCACCACCAGCTCCTCACGGTGGTGCCCCCACAGCTGGCCCACGATCTTGTAGTCGATCTGTCCACCAAATATCATTTTCATTAATACAATATGTTACTCTGTCTTACTGCAATACGTGGTAGAGCCACACTGCAGCTATTATGATGGTAGCAGGAATGGCTCAGCTCGACAGGTGTAGGACGACGCTCTTACAGAATACCAGAGTAAAATATATGCTTAATGCTGCTGTGTTTGGTATGGTGAGTGTAGAAAACTGAAGATCCTTATTACCGGAAATGAAGAGTTTCATGTTAGTCCTCAAAAGGACAACACATCTGCATTTCGATGCCTAAGTGCCTATGGGCCACAACATCCACTTACCTTTAGGTGGACTGTGTGCTCATTTGTCACACTTATTCTATATAAAAAAATTACTCAAACTGGAATTGTAGATGCATTACTGACTTTTGCGGAGTTCATCATATGATTTAAAATTATGTTAATTATGTGACCAGTGGTCAGCCACCGCAGAGCAAGCCTTGTTTAGAGGTGAAACACGTGTCGTATTATCGACAGTGGTGTGTGAGTGATACTAGTGTAATGGCGTTGGAAATAGTGGTGCTAAGATTTGCGGTGACAGTGTTAGTGTACGCAACTGAGGGAGGGCGGAAGATGCTCTTCAAACTAGGTTAGAAATTTTATTTCATTACATGGATCTTAGCTAATTCATTTTAACGAATAATGAATTTCCGCAAAGTAACGCCTATTCTATGCGGGATGCACTCTGATACCGACAGACTAATATAAAAAAAAAACGCAGCATACCTTGAGGAGATGTTCAGCTGAACTTGTGCTAGGCTGTAATGATGATAATGAGGATGATGATTGCTTACCGCTACGAAGCTACCTTTGAAGAAACTTTCTTGGTCAATACTTTGAGTTATCATTAGGAAGATGCTGCTGTCCATATCCTAATACAGTTTGCCTCCGTCGTCTCTTATGAGCTTATTATAAAACTCGCGGGACGATATGGGGCAGGGGATCTCTATACCGGTACCACACGGTGGCATCTATGGTTAAACCCCCTTTACGTAGACAGTAATGGATGGATGGATGGACCAATACATTTGCTTTAAACTGCATAAGTATTCTTTTAATTCTTATGCTTATAACTACCATCATTAAGGATCACCGCAACGTCGAAAGTAGTCAAGGTTACGCGTGAGACAATTTCTAATAAGTAGGTATGTAATATAATATAAATAAACTCACGAACAACACTCGGTTCAATTGAGAAATCGATGTGCAGTGCGAAATTGTGTAACTACGGGGCGTTGCTTGTCGGTGGCAATCACTCGCAGGCGCGTTATTTATTCGTTATGATTATATTTCTAACCTCAAATAAGATATTAATATAAAAAGGATATAGACTTAAAAGTCAATAATAGTTTAGTGGTACATTTACTGAATAGATCAATATAATTAATCAAAAGTCGAATGAGAAAACGAAAGCAACGGTTCTCATAGAGAACACAATCGCACTACAAGTGCGGATTTCTTAAGTATATTTCATCTGTTGGAAATTGTACATTAAATTTGAATAAGTCATGCAAACAAAGAAATTGAATGCATATTTTTATACAATAATCGTTTACGAATTTTTCGATAAACTGTATAATTAAATCAAGCAGTGCCTTAATCTAAAATACTTAGTCTACAATAACAGGCACCTGAATTAGAATAAACCTGTATCTCAGGTGTATGTGCTAATAGGTACATTAACAAATATTTTATATTTCTTATATAAATTCAATAACATACCAACAAATTAAGGTTAATTTTTTTAACATATGATATTAGCATAAAATTGCTTGCTGTACACTCACCATAAAGATCACAGCACAGATGAGGACGGAAGACAGGCAAGCTTTTGGTATGAAGAAGAAATATTGCGTCAAGAACTTTAACGCAAGCAGTGTGATGATTCCTGTAAGTGGATAGAGCTTTCGATTAACTTCATATATAATCATTCTTTTAGATATTATTAAGTAGTTTCAAATTTCTTGAATGTCAATTTATAATTATTAATATTGTATTAATAATTTACAATCAGTTCCGGTGCTAAGCATAAATGTTATGGAGTGGAGACCGCGCTTAGACAAACGTAGTGTTACCCCCTAACTAAATTGAGCGACACTCTGTGCAAGGTTGTCCCAAAAGCGCGCCTCTTAGACCGAAGATCGGTCTAAGAGGCGCGCTTTTGGGAGAATACTGACTGGGAATATTTTCAGAATGTGAAATTATTTTATTATTTTTAGTCCTTTGAAATCGGCTTTTAATTTTTGTTAAGTTATTTTTTCAGCAGGCTAATGATGATGAGTAATTAAAACTGCCATTGCGATGAAACTTGCATGAGAAAGATATTTCTTTACCGCGCTATGCTCATCGAGCTCAGTGCGTTTACAATTTGTGACAGACATTCGTATTTTGACCATGGAAAGAAAGGGGGAGATTTCCTACCGTGCAAGGAGTTCAGCCCGTTTGGCCAACGCTCTGTGTGGTAGTACGGAACTATTCTATATATATACGGCGGTAGACTTTGGTATGTTTTGTTTTTGGAGCGGCGACTGCGAAGGCACAGGATGATACGGTGGTTTCTTTTGTTATCCTAATATCATATTAATTATGATGATATATTTGGCTTTATATCATTATACCTCCTATCATCAACTAATAAAATAACCCGTAAACTGTTTCAAACTACATATTTCAAATTTCCCGCACGCTCCTCTGTATTACACAGGTTATTAATCGTCGTGGCAAAACTTCGCGCTGTCATAGAAAAGGAGTCGTCTCTCTCGCACGCGTGGGCTTTTTACCGGGCTTTCGAAAAGACGATCGCTTCCTTTCGAACCTGTGGCAAAATGTTCTATAATGAAATATAACTACGATTGTTTATATAGCAATTAGTATGGAGCCGAAAGCTGGGCTTTTAGTGTGAAGTTAGGGACGCGTGGGCGATACGTTTGCAAGTTCACTTCACATTTCAATGTTTACTCTGTGTGTTTACTAGAGCGAATAAATATTTCGAGTTGAAAATTTATGCTTTTATAAAGATTTTTAGTGACATTGGAGGATAATAGTGTTCCTTGTGATGAATTGAAGTGTGTTAAAGTGCTAAAGTGGAAAAGGTAAAATATTTAAACTTTGTTGAGAAATATATATATATATATGCATATGTTTTCAGCAACATTTTATGCAGACGTAATCAAATCTTAAGGAAAGAAATAGAGACGATTCAATTTAGATAATAAATATTTTTTTTTTAATTTTGTACATAGTTTGTTTGGACTCTGTTCATGCTTTTCTTTTGTTCATGTATTGTATGTAAATAAATATCTTTTTCGTTCGCTCAAGCAAACCCAAACGGTTTTGTTCAAAGCCACCAAAGCTGCTTGTTGTTGCTGCATTGCTGATATGTCATACAATATATCTAGCAGTAGTATGCCTTCTGTGTGCTTTGTTAAACACGTCCTCGACAGCACTGAATATGAAACTGAAGAAGGGAGACAGATTAAGATTCGTGTATTTTTATAAAACTGCTAAAAACAACAAAACTATATCTTGGGCTTGTCCTAGTTTGGAGCCCTAGCTTCGCCACTGTTCTGAAGGATTTTGCGAATTCTTAGTGGAGTGTCGCTCTGAAGTGTGGTGAACTCTGTATTATACTGTGAATTTTTTTCTATTGAATTTCAGGCGAGGCTTTGACGACTGAACGATGGCGAGTAAACCTTTAATATTATCAATTCATAGTCTACAGCATAAGAATTCTTCAACAGCGAAGGTATAGGCACTGCAGTGGAGTGGAGGTGTGTGCACGTACGCACTCCAGCGGTCTCTAGTGACGCAGTAATGTCACTAGAGACCGTTGGAGTGATATTAGGTGTAGGAGGATGTGTTAGGGGTGGGTGTGCGGGGTGCAATGCGGTGCATGTGGGAAGGGACAGGAGTGCGGGGTGCGGTGCGGTGCACTGACCGGAGTAGAGGCCGGCGGCGGGCGTGCGCACGCCGCTGGAGTGCGAGACGGCGGAGCGCGTGAAGGCGCCGCACGTGGGCATGGCGCGCACCAGGCCGCCCGCCACGTTGCACAGCCCCAGCGTCACCATCTCCTGCGTCGCGTCCACGCGCGCCCCCTCCGCTGCGCACAACCACAAGCACAACGCTATACTCGTGCTGCATCGTCACGGCGCCCATCGGCGCCGGACCGGATTATAGTGCCGAGTGTATGTGTGCACTCTCTATTTCCTCACCATCATAATCCAATGGGACAGTAATTCAGCTTTATGTTCTTTCCGAGGCACGTAGGTGAAATACCACTAACTTTCTGACTCTGCCTTTTTTATATTATTCTAAGCTAGCGCTTAACTACAATCCCACCTGAGGGTAATTGTTGATGTAGCCTAAGATGGTGAAGCACAATGACTTAACATAAGCCTGTTCTCTCTTGCCTTGAAGACACACACTGTAATAGGATGGAAAAACAGATGGTGGCGACTTATTCCACTCCTTTGCTGTACGCATAACAAACGACGCAGCAAACCGTTTGTTTCGAATGCGTGGTAAATCAATAACGAAAGGGTGGAGACTGGCCGAACGTCTGGTTGTCCGACAGTGGAAGAGAGAGGGGGAATTAAATTTTGCAATTCCTGCGCACTCTCTCCGAAATGCATCCTGTAGAAAACCGAATGGCTGGCTACTTTGCGCCTGTGTTCGAGGCTGGTAAAATTGGTTTTAACCAAATTCGGGTCACCAATAAACCTAAGTAGCATTTTGCAGCATCAACCTATATATGGCAGCAATACTCCATGCACGACCGGTAGGCGTATTACGTATCTTGCAGAAGGCTAGCGATAGCGAAATTAGAACAATAATTGCTGATAAATCACAGATTCCTATTATGTATCAGCGATAACCAAGCTATCTAGTGACAGAGCTGTCTTGTGGTCGCTAGTTAGCTAGGGCTTGGTTATCGCTGGTCGAAAAATACGTATCTGCGATTTATCAGCAATTATTGTTTTAATTTCGCTATCGCTAGCCTTCTGCAAGATACGTAATACGCCTACCGACCTGCGCTTTATATAAAGTAAGCAGATATCCCAACGTGTAGTATCGCCGCAGCTATGCAAGGATTCCTAGCTTCCTTGCAACTGCTTTAGCTTTGGACTCAATGAATTGCCCGAAGTTCATATTTGAGAATATCTCAACCCCCAACAACTGAAGGTGGCTGGTGTATTCCTGTGATACATTTCGGAAAGAAGGAAAAAAGGAGAGATGGCTCCTTTTGGTTCAGTTGACACCTAAGATAACTCGATCTGGCAACATATAACGCACGCTCTATGAGGCCTGACGAGAAGATCATGGAGCTTGAAGAAAAGATAGACAAGTTGCGCTGGGATATTATAGAACTATGTGATGTCCGAAAAGAGAGTGTGGGCACGGTAATCCTCGAATCTGGCAACTTGTTCATTACCTTAACAAAACTATATGCAAAAAGAAAATAACTATCTGGCTCCAAGAACTAAATTATTATGACACTGAACAACTACTTACTAATTCTATCTAATTACTAATCTAATAAAAGTTAATTATTAACCCAGTCACAAACTAACAAACAAAAGCATGCACACACACACACACACACTAATACTAGTTAATATATGTAGAATCCTAAGTAAATGAAAGGAGATATTATGTAAATTATAAATATGGTACATGTACGAGTGCATAATAAAAGTATTGTAATTAGAACCATAGGGCGGAGACCTGGCGTCCTGAAATACAGGCGTAAAGCCTAGCTTAGGCACTAGTCTCCCACAGTATATTATTGAGGCTATACTATAATATTATGTATAATAATTCTGTATTGTGGTGAGAAAATAAAATAAATTATTATTATTATTATTATTATTATTACCGTGGTCGCCCACCTGTCCCAAAGCAGTGTCAGATTTATCGTCCACAAGTCTCTCATTGACAACATTGTAAAGATTATGAGTGTGTCGACGAGAGTTGCGTAGCTTATACTCAGAATCACCAAACGGTATTAGTTGAAGTTCATACAGGTTTACGCGCCAACTTCGGCATATCCCGGTTAGGATGTGGAGGAAATATATGATGATATCTCTTAAGCCACGTATTCCTCCCAAATCCACTATACGGGGTTAATGGGAGACTTCAACGCAAAACTAGGCACAAGAGAAAACAGTGAGCTGAAGGTATAATTCGGAATAGGACAACGAAACCGAACAAAACCAAACCAAAACCAGCAGCTTGCCGACTTCATGAGGGACTCTTTATGACGAACTTTTTCTTCCAGAAGCGATCCCCTAGGAAGTTTACCTGGTCGAGCCCGATGTTTCAACGAAAAACTAGGTTGACTTCATTATGACGACTAAACGGCAACTGTTCAGTGATGTCTCAGTAATCGCGAGGGTGAAAACTGGCAGCGATCACCGAATGGTTAGAGGCTCACTGAACCTAAACCTTAAGTTTGGTCACGTTTAATGAAGTCAACGCTCCGTCCCCCTCGTGCTCTAATCCAAAGTTCGGAAAACTTTCAGCTCGAGTTACAAAACCGTTTTCAGTGCCTAGAAAATGTGAGAGTGAGATTAAGAGGTTCTATGGGCAGCTGTACACGTAATCGTTGAAGCCGCACGCAAGTGTAATAACGATCCAAAAGCAAGTATTATTTATTCTGTGGTAATACGACACTATTCCGATTATATACCGGACGTCAGTCTGAGTGTGATCAGAGTGAGAGGCTCCAGAGTGGAATCACAGCCTCCCAACGGAGAGGTCTTATGATGAACATGGACAAAACAAAGATCATATGTAACGTCCATGTTACATCTACGCCGGTAGTTGTTAGGAGTACTAGGCTCGAAGTTGTTGACAAGTATGTTTGCCTGGGACAGATAGTCCGACAAGGTAAGTCCAACTTCAACCGAGTCCAAACCAAGAGATCAATCGACGGATTCAACTCGGCTGGGCACCGTTCGGGAAATTACGATACATCTTCTCGTCAGGTATACCTAAAAAGTTGAAAACGAGATTGTACAACCAGTGCGTGTTGCCAGTGATGACTTTGGATCTTCACTAGTGGCCATATGAGGAACTTCAAAGTCGCTCAGCGAGCTATAGAGAGGGCTATATTTGGAGTTTCTCTGCGTGATAAACTTAGAAATGAGGATATCCGCAGTAGAACCAGAGTGACCGACATTGCCCAACGGACAAGTAAGCTGAAGTGGCAATAGGCCGGCTATATAGCTCGAAGAACCGACAACCAATGGGGAAAAAAGGTTCTCGAGTGGCAACCTGGTAAGACATGCAGGAAGTCTATGAATGCAGGTAGCTCAGGACCGTACTATATGGCATTTCTTAGGGGAGGCCTTGTTCAGCAGTGGACTTGTGAGGGGCTGTAATGATGATGATGATGATGAAATGGACTAATAGTAGAATAACCTTTTATTTTTATAAATAAAAAATCTAAAGTAAATAAAAACACAACTCGTATAAAGATCACTTACAAAAAGCCTTGGCAATGGCAATATTAGCCAGTACCATAACCACCGGCAGCATGAAGATAGCGGAGCCCAGTTCCTTTGTCATCTCCATAAAGCCCACAGTGCGGTTGCCCACTACTGTGCTGAAAGGCGGCAGGCTCACAACTGGCAAGCCCGGCTCCACGCTACCTGAACATTTAAATTAATTACGATGATTGTTTAAGTAATAGTAATAATAATTGTCGTCCAGACCAAATTTCGATCTAGTTAGCTAGTCTCAACGAAGACTAGCCATCGGGGCTGGACAGGATTATAGAGCCCAGGTGTGTGCGCGAACACAAATGCACTCTCTATTCCCTCACTCTCATAGACCGATGGGCCGGTAATTTGATACGACCAGAGAGAGAGAGAGAGCAGGCGCAGAACCAACAAAGGACCTTCCGACTCTGGGCTGCTACTGAAAATTTCTTAACAGAAAAACTCAATAACTGATTTAGAGCCCGACCAGGGATTCGAACCCGGGGTCTCATATCAGCAACCACGTGTGCGACCAGTAGACCAACGAGGGAGTCGTTGTACAAGTAACAAAGGAACAAGTGTGAGGTAGGATAGGGTAGGTACTGTACATGTACTATTAATTTTACAAAAAATGTTATAAAATAATTAGATGTTACCCCTGAGGAATAAGGTGAAATGCCTCGTTTTCAGAATAAAATGGTCTTCGGTTTGGTACGAGTGCACCTACAATACAAAACCCCGCAGCATGTCAAGCTGGTATTGTGAGAGCGTAGTCCTATCCCGGTTGAATATAATATAATAGAATATATTAATTTTTATTCAAAATAAATTATTTCATAATACTTATTGGAAGCATTTTTTTATTTATCACTTGTTGCTTTTAGTGTTACGTTGTACCACCATTTTAATTACCGTTGAGGCGACAACTTGATACGGCCATAATATAGCTGCAGCATGGCTGTACCACATAAATAATTCCATAACTATAGAGGAGATAGGTAGGTAGGAGATAGGGTAGTAAGAGACAGGTACCCAGAAGGTATCCTAATTCAAATTCGAATTCCTTTATTTGTCATAAATACCCTTTATATAAGTAAGTATGTATATGTAATGTAGTATGTATGATGATGTTACAGTAAAAATAAGTTGCTTAAAGACCAATTAAGTCATGAGATACAGCATGGTAACTTTTCCAAATTACCAAATATAGGTCATAGTAGATTCAAAAATTTCAACTTATTCAAAGTAATTTTTAAATGAACAAAAGAATAACAGAGAATGTTGGTTACCGGAGAGCTTGAGCAGAGGGCGCGCCGGGTCGTAGGTGTAGCACGCGAAGGTGGAGGCGGCGAACACCACCAGCGCGTTGCGCGCGATCGACACCAGCCATAGCGCCTTCTTCAGCTTGTGTCTCTTGGCACTCACCTTCACATCCTTCAGTTTCTGGAAGGATACAATCGCAATCTTTTTATAGGTAAAATTAAATATTTTCGTTCAATTTAGATCACAAATGGTAATTATGAAAAAGGATTTGGATCCTTTAAAACCTTCAACCCATAATCATGTTGAAAATAATATAAAATATAAACGGTCCATAATAATCCAAATGGTTCCAGAAAATCTTAATGTCTGAGTGGGTACGATGCAAGTTGTTCACTGCACTGCTCCGATGCGTTTTAGTGAACTCCAGCAACAGCACAAGCAAGACAAGTAGGCTTCTTCACAATGTGGACGACACCACCAATCACTTGTTAAACCAGCACTATTAAGTGGTGCCGGCGGCAATCGAACCTGGACTCCTCGCATTGGGAAATTTACTTTGAATTCTTACTTTGATCTACAAAGATAAAACAATTCCAACAAAAGTTGTTTTATGGCAAAATTACTAACAAAAAAAAGATAACCGTTATTAGTCTATACTCACTCTCCTAACTTCAACCGTTAATATCTCAAAAGAATCTTTTTAGTAGTTGGATTATTTTTGCATAAAATCATTATTTAAGTTTACGCCTCACTCTTAACTACCACGGCTATAACATTTCTCCTTCAGCCCGTTAAAAGTTTACTGCTGGAAATGGGGCTCTCCCATTGAAGCAAAAATTTGTCTTAACCGTCCCACTTGGCAGGTGGACAGACGATCGCAGTTCTCGACGCTTCGCACACTTGACGCTGCTTCCCGCCGTCGTTCTGGCAAATTTTTTTTATATAAAAGGGGGCAAACGAGCATGCGGCCCACCTGATGGTAAGTGACTACCGCTGCAACTGGAACATCAGGGCAGTACAACATAGTAGAAAAATTGCTGATGGTAGTCGATTCCACATGAAAGTTGTGCGAGGAAGAAAACTCCTTTTAAATCGCACAGTGGTGACCGCCAATCATCCGGATAGCTTTTTTGAATATAAAATTGGGTAACAAACGAGCACACAGTCCACCTGATGGTAACTGGATGCTGTGCTCAATAGACATCTACATTTATCCTCAATTGATAATCAAATTGTAGATACGTTGTCACACCTGAGGACTAAGATGGAATACCTCGTACCTCCACCATACGAAACACAACAGCATTTAAGCTGTTATTCTTCGTTACGCTGGTATTCTGTGAGAGCGTGGGCTTACACGGTAGAGGCGACCCATTCGTGCTACTACCATAATATAGGTGCAGCCAGATGGCATGGATGGTATTGCGAGTTTTAGCGATGTGCGATGGTGAAATTTAGCGGCATTAGTCCGAACAATTATTTTACGCCTGACGTTGAACAATAATTTACATCTAAGATAGACGTCTAATTATAGACATCTCTTACGAATTAACAGAACCACCGGCGAAATAGGGTAGTAGATTCGCTTCGTAAAACCGATGGTCCTGCGCCTGATCTCTCTCCAGTACTGTGGCATTGCCGTCTCACGTACTATGAGAGAGTGCCCCTGTGCTTGCTGCTTGCGCATACACTTAGACACTATAGTCCTGTCCTGCGCAGATAGCTAGCCTTCGTTGTGAATGGCCGCCGTGACTGAATTTCGGCCTGGAGGACATTATTTTAGAGAAATATTTTAAGAATATAGTTTTAACTTTTTACGTGTTACAGGCATGACTGTAGCTATATTATGGCCGTAGCACGAAGTGGTCGCCTCAACGGTATTGGGAGAGCTTGTAAATATAGTGCAGAGTTGTTCAGAAACTACGTTAACAGGGTTTAGACTATGGCTATGGTGGTACAACACAAAACAAAAAAATAACAAGAAGTAAATAAATAAAAAAAGACTTTTGTTCGCGCCAAACACTTTCAAGGATTGACGCGAGATGTCACTCGGCTCGGCGCGATACCGGTTTGACTTTCGGTCGTGCGAAAAACGCCCAAGGGCAGTCTGTCGTCTGCCAGATGTGCTAATGTTTGCACGCTGTTAATTTTCTGCGGGAACCGCGGAATAGTTAGGGCGTCTAGTAAATATCCTGTCTAGGAATTATAACGCGCATTCCCTGTTTGGATAGCCTTTCCCGGGACTTATTGGGTCCGACTCAGAATCTGTATAAGTGCATTCGACAATATAAGCTAGTGCGGCCTCTGATTCTAGAATTAACTATTGCTACGCGAAACGGTAGTGACCTTTGACCCAGAAACTCCGGGCGTGTTTTGTGCGGTAACCTTATACCCCGCGATAGTTAGTGGCTTCTGTAAGCTAGTTAATAGTACGATAGAGTTAAGTGACTGTCATCGTGGTGAACCAAGAAAGTGACTGTGGATAACCTCGAAAGGCCCCCTCAAATTGGAGCGGTGTCGACGCTCGGGCTGCTGCCGACGGCTAAGGTCCAGGTTTAATCACCATCAGTCACACCCAGATACACACCACATCACCATTCTTTCCCTTGCACTACACAACTACATGCGACCTGACCGACTCCGGAGGGACCAGTCGTCTTGGATCGAGGTAAGTGAACTCCGCCAAATTCCTTCCGGTCGACTGGCCGTAGTATAACGCTCCCCCATATATTTTAGTGTAATTAGAGAGATTCCACGTGGCCTTAGGAGGCCCGACCTACGTCTGCTCGAGAGGTCTTCAGCTCATGGGCCCCTGAAGGTCTGATCCTTTAAGAGAGCAGCCGTAGGCCGTAACATTTTGGTAGCAGAGCGTGGTTCCGGGTTCGATTCCCGGTCGATCCCGACTATAGTGTTTGATAAACATTAAACAATTTTGGTGGCAGGGAGCGTTGGTGTGATTGGTTTAATTTGCATCTACAATCACGCCCGTCCGTAATACGTAAAAATATTTTTTTGTACGTAATAATAGAATTATTTTCCTTTGTTGCTTTGTTGCTTGCCTTTTTTTTGGTTAGAGGGTAATTTGAAAAGCCGCGCCCTAGGTTGTGCAAGCGGGAGTTTTTCTAGAGATATACGTCATGTAGGTAGATGGTTATTTTTACGTAATCGGTTAATTATCGTTGTCGGATAGTTGTAGTGGATTACTTATCGAAGGTTCGATTTCCGAGCTAGGCATTTTTGTTGATCGACCGTGATGTGTATCTTCGTTTATACTGTAATTTGTATTTGAACTAAAGAGTAGTAATTGTATTTGCGTACTTTGAATTTAACTTGATTTCATCGCACTAGTATTTGTTATTTGTTAATTTGAATGTGTCTTTTCTTTTGAGCTAACTTGTATTTGGTTGATACGTAGTAATTCGTATTTGTGTAATTTCTATTCAACGCGATTTGATAGGAACTGCATTTATTAACTGTTAATTTTTGTTGTATTTTTTGTTTGTTATCTTTGTAATCTGTGCTCAAGCCGCGTCGTAATTGTATTTAATAGTGATGACATCGCCTAAGCTACTGATCCGTTGTCTGCGGACTGAGTTGCGCTGGGCCACAAGCGCCCATGCTTTGATAGGTCGACCGGATAGGGTCCATAACTTGATGAAGCGGTTCGAGCAGGTGGATGCTCGAAGGGCCGCAGTGGAGGAGGCTTACGCTGATCTCGAGGATTCGGATGTGGAGAAGGGAGTCCTAGACTCTTGCTTTGCGGACTATGAGCAGTTCTTGTGGCTCACGGACGAGTTGATCGAGGCTGAAGGCAGGTATGCCGAGGAGGCGCGTGAAGCTCGGATGAGTAACCTGCCCGAGTCCTCTCTGAAGCCGCTTCAGCCGGAGCTGTTGGGACGACTCCCAACTCTGGACCTGCCAAAGTTCTCCGGGGTCCTTTCCGAATGGCTGACCTTCGTTGGTCTTTTCGACAGCCTAGTGGACGCCCGGAGTGACTTGACCCCGAGACAAAAGATGGCGTACCTCCTGGCCTCACTGGAGGGGGAGGCCCTGGGCGTCGTCGGCCACTTGAAATTGTCGGACGACGCCTACCAGACTGCTCGGGACCTCCTAGCCAGAAGATACGCCAACATCCGGCGAATTGCAGACGAGCATGTTAAGCAGCTTCTAAGCCTCCCGCTGCTTAGTGACCGGGCCAGACTGCGTCCGGACCTGTTGGATCCAGTCTTGGTGGCCTGTAATACATTGAGGCGGCTGGGTTTACCAGTGGGCGAATGGGCCTTTTTGTTGCTCCGCATAGTGCTGTCCCGTCTACCTCTCGACCTTCGAATCCATTTTGAGGAGAGGTACGGCGGGGACGAGGCCTCCTATATTCCGCCCTTCTATGACCTGCTGCGGTTTTTAGAGGAGCAGTGCCGGCAGATCGAGAACGCGGCGGGCACCGTTGACGACTTACGAGACGTGCCCAGTGAGAGGCTGAACCCGCCAGGCAAGTCGTCGTCAACCCCCCCCTGCTCCTATTGTCGAGCATCTGATCATCGGGTAACGTTGTGCCCGAAATTATTAGGTAAGCCGGTTCCTGCGAGGCGAACTATCGCCAAGGAGCGCCGCTGGTGCTGGTCATGTCTGGGAGGGCACCTCCAGCGAGACTGTCCGCATCGATGGCCCTGTCTGCATTGCCAGGGCAATCACCATGCCGTTTTGTGCCTGGGTGCGAACGGCGTCTCCTCTCGGGGCTCTGCCAGGCCCTCGACCCCCACGGGCGGGGGCGCTCAGCCACGCCCTCTGCTGGGCGACAATCGGCGCTCGCCGGCCATCCACCAGGCCCCTAAGTTTGAAAGGGGCCCCTCCCCCAAGCAGTTGGGGGGTAATTCCCCCAGGGGCGGGGGTGTCATCACCCCCCCTCAGCGTGTGGAGAGGAACTTCACGGCCACTCATCGGTCCGCTGGACCCTTCTCACTTCGGTTAGCTGAGTGGCCGCGACTGGTGTACCACTGTTCCCCATTTGATGGAGGCGGCCCTGTCTAGCTGCCGCCTTGGCTCCCACCACGGCCGCCTCCACTGAGCCTTAAGCTGTCAACAGTCCACTTGTCAAAATGTTCTGTTGCCGACGGCCTCAGTGAAGGCGTACAACCCGAGTGGCAACTGTTAAAGGTTGTGCTCTATTTATCTCGGGTTCACGCCATGTGGCCTCCCCTTGGTGGTGGGAAGATTAGGGCCCCCCTGGAGCGTTGAATCACGTTGTCAAGGGGTATTAGATTTGGTTTGGTCGAGCACTTAGTCAAAAAATACTTGAATTAAAATTAAAAAATGGTTTGGGCTTTCCGCGAAATTTTCCTATTTGTAGCGGTTTAAATTAAAAGAATTGAATTTAATCTACTCCTTTAAATGCTACTGCATGTGTTTTGTAAATATATTTAATCACTGTATTTGATTGTTGCGTCTGTTTGCTGAAAGGAAAATTTGAATTCATCTGAAATGGAATGGCGCACTATTTGAAAAATTATGTTTATGTTTATGATAGTGTTTAATCATTTTGCTTTGCGAAGAAGTAGGGCTGTCCCTTACGTTATTGTTTTGTTTAATTTGCAAGTTGACCTATGCGCATCGGTGATTAATTTGGTTGAATTAATTCTGTAGTTGCACATTGATGCTTTTGAAAAATTAGTTGAAATATGAGCATAGGACTTCTTCTTCTTCTTCTTCATAGGATTGAAATCAGCTGCCGCACTATTTTAGTAAATGATAATAGGGTGGGTGGCCTGGCTAGGCCTACTTGTTGAAAATTCATACTAGGGACTATCTGTGCGTTTCGTTCGGCTCTCCACAGACGACGTTCATGTGGAATTTGTGGGTGCTCTCTGCACTGAAGCTTAGGAGGCCGCTCGAGGCCGCTTCGTGTCGCGTCACTGTTTGCAGAGCTGATCCGGTCGGATTGCGGAACTAATCATAGGGGCATAGATAGGTGTTTGAAAGAGGTCGTCGGACTTTTGTCCAGTACAGGACTTGTTAAAGTGCTGCGATGCCCAGGAGGGGCATCCAGTGGAGGCTGACCCTCCGGCTTGCCACATTAGGGCTATTTTTTGAGGCGCTGGTTAGGGTTGCAAGATCTGATGGGATGCCTAAGGTGGCCTAGTTTGGTTGTAGATTCGGTCTTGCAACTTGCCTTCGCGACCTTGTCCCGCTGACCGGTTTGCTCGCGGACCTAAATCCTTATGTCCGGGACGGGGGTTTGTTCGCGCCAAACACTTTCAAGGATTGACGCGAGATGTCACTCGGCTCGGCGCGATACCGGTTTGACTTTCGGTCGTGCGAAAAACGCCCAAGGGCAGTCTGTCGTCTGCCAGATGTGCTAATGTTTGCACGCTGTTAATTTTCTGCGGGAACCGCGGAATAGTTAGGGCGTCTAGTAAATATCCTGTCTAGGAATTATAACGCGCATTCCCTGTTTGGATAGCCTTTCCCGGGACTTATTGGGTCCGACTCAGAATCTGTATAAGTGCATTCGACAATATAAGCTAGTGCGGCCTCTGATTCTAGAATTAACTATTGCTACGCGAAACGGTAGTGACCTTTGACCCAGAAACTCCGGGCGTGTTTTGTGCGGTAACCTTATACCCCGCGATAGTTAGTGGCTTCTGTAAGCTAGTTAATAGTACGATAGAGTTAAGTGACTGTCATCGTGGTGAACCAAGAAAGTGACTGTGGATAACCTCGAAAGGCCCCCTCAAATTGGAGCGGTGTCGACGCTCGGGCTGCTGCCGACGGCTAAGGTCCAGGTTTAATCACCATCAGTCACACCCAGATACACACCACATCACCATTCTTTCCCTTGCACTACACAACTACATGCGACCTGACCGACTCCGGAGGGACCAGTCGTCTTGGATCGAGGTAAGTGAACTCCGCCAAATTCCTTCCGGTCGACTGGCCGTAGTATAACGCTCCCCCATATATTTTAGTGTAATTAGAGAGATTCCACGTGGCCTTAGGAGGCCCGACCTACGTCTGCTCGAGAGGTCTTCAGCTCATGGGCCCCTGAAGGTCTGATCCTTTAAGAGAGCAGCCGTAGGCCGTAACAACTTTTAATAAGTACTTATTATGAAATAATTTATACATGGTTGTAGCACGAATAGATCGGCTCGATCGGGGAAGGACCACGCTCTCACTGAATACCAGCATAAAATAGCAGTGAGTGTAGAGGCATTCCATTTGCATTTTGATTCTTAATCGAGGATAGATGTCTATAGGCCAGTCCATAGGCATCCACTTACCATCAGGTGGACATTGTGCCCGCTTGTGACCATTATTCTATAAAAAAAACTCACCCGTAATAACAAGAGAACAGTGCAGCACACGGCGCTGAGCACGCAGTCGGGTGTACGCACTTCGTGCCAGTTCTCCAGGATCAGCTCCACGTTCTCGGACAGAGTCTCGGCTACGAAGTTCAGCCCCAGCAACCCCTTCACCTGCGCCACAGCAATAATCACAGCAGTCGCCGACGTGAATCCACTCGTGACGGACGGTGAAATTAATTCCACAAGAACACCTGCACACAAATGATACGCGTGTGATAGAATAGCTACCTAAAAGTAAATCTTTTTTTTAGGTTATAGTTATATAGTATTCAACTACCTATCTACCAAACGATTGTCCTATATACGAACTGAAACCATCGTGGGGCGTGTGTTTATGTTGGGCAAGGAAAAGGTAATCAACAAGATAAATAAATAAATAAATAAATAAATATATATATATATATATATATATATATGTTACGGCCTACGGCTGCTCCCTTAAAGGGTCAAATCCTCAGGGGCCCATGAGCAGAAGACTTCCCGAGCAGACGTAGGTCGGGCCTCAATGTGGCCACGTGGAATCTCTCTAATTACACTAAAATATATGGGGGAGCGTTCTATACAACGGCCAGTCGACCGGGACGAATTTGGACGTAGCTTACTTACCTATATCCAAGGCGACTGGTCCCTCCGGAGTCGGTCAGGTCGCATGTGGTTGTGTAGTGCAAGGGAAATAAAGTGATGTGATGTGTATCTGGGTGTTACTGATGGTGATTGAACCTAGACCTTGGCCGTCGGCAGCAGCCCGGGCGTCGACACCGCTCCAACTTGAGGGGGCCTTCCGAGGCGTTGTCCACAGTCACTTTCCTCGTTCGTCATGATGACAGTCAATTAACTCTATCGTACGATTAACAAACTTACAGAAGCCACTAACTATCGCTGGGTATAAGGTTAACGCACAAAACGCACACGGAGTTTCTGGATCAAAGGTCACTACCGTTTCGCGTAGCAACAGTTAGTTCTAGAATATCAGAGGCCGCACTAGCTAATATTGCCGAATGCACTTATGCAGATTCTGAGTCAGACACTATGTGTCCCTGGGAAGCTCTCCAGTAGGGATGAGCGCCACAAATCCTAGACCGTATTTTTACTATCCGCGCCTAATTATTCCGAGTTCCCGACAAAATTGACAGCGTGCTAACGTCAGCACCACTTACAGATGACCCCGCCTTTTCGCTCGCGACCCGCGCGCCATTGCCACGCTCGGCCGAACTTCAACCGATATCGCGCCGAGCCGAGTGACATCTGGCGTCGATTCTTGACAGCGTTTGGCGCGAACAAACCCCCGTCCCGGACATAAGGATTTAGGTCCGCGAGCAAACCGGTCAGCGGGACAAGGTCGCGACGGCAAGTTGCAAGACCGAATCTACAACCAAACTAGGCCACCTTAGGCACCCCATCAGATCTTGCAACCCTAACCAACGCCTCAAAAGATAGCCATAATGTGGCAAGCCGGAGGGTCAGCCTCCACTGGATGCCCCTCCTGGGCATCGCAGCACTTTAACAAGTCCTGTACTGGACAGAAGTCCGACGACCTCTTTCAAACACCTATCTGTGCCCCTATGATTAGTTCCGCAACCCGACCGGATCAGGTCTGCAAACAGCGACGCGACACGAAGCGGCCCAGAGCGGCCTCCTAAGCTTCAGTGCAGAGAGCACCCCCGAATTCCCCATGAACGTCGTCTGTGGAGAGCCGAACGAATGCACAGATAATCCCTAGTATGAATTTTTAAACAAGTAGGCATAACCAAGCCATCCACCATATAATCATTTACCAAATGGTGCCGCAGCTGATTTCCATCTGATAATCTACAAACTAGTCAGTCTGTTAGACAAGTAGTCCTATGCTCATATTCCAAATAATTTTTCAAAGCATCAATGTTCAACTACAGAATTAATTCAACCAAATTAATCACCGATGCACATAGGTCAACTTGACAAATTAAACAAAACAATAACGAAGGAGACAGCCCTATTTCTCATTTACGTAACTTAGACAGTGCCAACAAAATGTAAACCAAAGGAGAATTGACTTTTATTTACCTCGGCACAAATAGGGTTATCTAATTTCAGCCTTCCTTTTCACAAAGCAAAATGATTAAACACTATCATAAAACATATACACAATTTTCCAAATAGCGCGACATTCAATTTCAAATGAATTCAAATTTTCCTTTCAGCAAACAGACGCAACAATCAAATACAGTGATTAAATATATTTACAAAACACATGCAGTAGCATTTAAAGGAGTAGATTAAATTCAATTCTTTTAATTTAAACCGCTACAAATAGGAAAATTTCGCGGAAAGCCCAAAGCATTTTTAATTTTAATTCAAAGAATTTTTTAAATAAGTGCTCGACCAAAACAAATGTAATACCCCTTCACAGCGTGATTCAACGCTCCAGGGGGGGCCTAATCTTCCCACGACCAAGGGGAGGCCACATGGCGTGAACCCGAGACCAGTAGAGCGCGACCGCTAACAGTCGCCACTCGGGTTGTACGCCATCACTGAGGACGTCGGCAACAGAATATTTTGACAAGTGGACTGTTGACGGTTTAAGGCTCAGTGGAGGCGGCCGTGGTGGGAGCTAAGGCGGCAGCTAGCCAGGGCCGCCTCCATCAAATGGGGAACAGTGGGACACCAGTCGCGGCCACTCAGCTAACGGGAGTGAGAAGGGTCCAGCGGACCGATGAGTGGCCGTGAAGTTCCTCTCCACACGCTGAGGGGGGGTGATGACACCCCCGCCCCTGGGGGAATTACGCCCCGACTGGTCGGGGGAGGGACCCCTTTCAAACTTAGGGGCCTGGTGGCTGGCCGGCGGGCGCCGAGAGTCGCCCGGCAGAGGGCGTGGCTGAGCGCCCCCACCCGTGGGGGTCGAGGGCCTGGCAGAGCCCCGAGAGGAGACGCCGTTCGCACTCAGGCACAAAACTGCATGATGATTGCCCTGGCAATGCAGACAGGGCCGCCGATGCGGACAGTCTCGCTGGAGGTGCCCTTCCAAACATGAGCATCACCAGCGGCGCTCCTTGGCGATAGTTCGCATCGCCGGAACCGGCTTACCTAATAATTTCGGGCACGACGTTACCCGGTGATCAGATGCTCGACAATAGGATTAGGGGGGGGGGGGGGGGGTTGACGACGACTTGCCTGGCGGATTCAGCCTCTCACTGGGCACGGCTCGTAAGTCATCAACGGTGCCCGTCGCGTTCTCGATCTGCCGGCACTGCTCCTCCAAAAACCGCAGCAGGTCATACAAGGGCGGAATATAGGAGGCCTCGTCCCCGCCGTACCTCTCCTCAAAATGGATTCGAAGGTCGAGAGGTAGACGGGACAGCACGATGCGGAGCAACAAAAAAGCCCATTCGCCCACTGGTAAATCCAGCCGCCTCAACGTATTACAGGCTACCAGGACTGGATCCAACAGGTCCGGACGCAGTCTGGCCCGGTCACTAAGCAGCGGGAGGCTTAGAAGCTGCTTCACATGTTCGTCCGCAATTCGCCGGACGTTGGCGTATCTTCTGGCTAGGAGGTCCCGAGCAGTCTGGTAGGCGTCGTCCGACAATCTCAAGTGGCCGACGACGCCCAGAGCCTCCCCCTCCAGTGAGGCCAGGAGGTACGCCATCTTTTGGCTCGGGGTCAAGTCACTCAGGGCGTCCACTAGGCTGTCGAAAAGATCAACGAAGGTCAGCCATTCTGAAAGGACCCCGGAGAACTTTGGCAGGTCCAGAGTTGGGAGTTGTCCCAACAGCTCCGGATGAAGCTGCTTCAGAGAAGACTCGGGCAGGTCACTCATCCGAGCTTCACGCGCCTCCTCGGCATACCTGCCTTCAGCCTCGATCAACTCGTCCGTGAGCAAAAGGAATTGCTCATAGTCCGCGAAGCAGGAGTCCAGGACTCTCTTCTCCACATCCGAATCCTCGAGCTCAGCGTAAGCTTCCTCCACTGCGGCCCTTCGAGCATCCACCTGCTCGAACCGCTTCATTAAGTTATGGACCCTATCCGGTCGACCTCTATCAAAGCATGGGCGCTTGTGGCCCAGCGCAACTCAGTCCGCAGACAACGGATCAGTAGCTTGGGCGACGACATCACTACTTAATACAAATTACGACGCGGCTCGAGCACAAATTACAAAGATAACAAATAAAAAATACAACAAAAAATTAACAGTTAATAAATGCAGTTCCTATCAAATCGCGTTGAATAGAAATTACACAAATACGAATTACTACGTATCAACCAAATACAAATTAATACAAAAGAAAAGACACAAATCAATTAATAAATACTAGTGCGATCAAATCAAGTTAAAATCAAATGGCGCAAATACAAATTACTACTCTTTAGTTCAAATACAAATTACAATACAAATAAGATACACATCCACGGTCGATCAACAAAAAATGCCTAGCTCGGAAATTGACCCTTCGATAAGTAATCCACTACAACTATCCGACAACGATAATTAACCGATTACGTAAAAATAACCATCTACCTACATGACGTATATCTCTAGAAAAACTCCCGCTTGCGCAACCTAGGGCGCGGCTTTAAACTACCCACTAAACAAAAAAAAGGCAAGCAACAAAGCAACAAAGGAAAATAATTTTATTATTACGTACAAACAAATATTTTTACGTATTACGGACGGGCGTGATTGTAGATACAAATTAAACCAATCAAACCAACGCTCCCTGCCACCAGAATTGTTTAATTTTTATCAAACACTATGGTCGGGATCGACCGGGGAATCGAACCCGGAACCACGCTCTGCTACCAGTTTGTTACGGCCTACGGCTGCTCCCTTAAAGGGTCAAATCCTCAGGGGCCCATGAGCAGAAGACTTCCCGAGCAGACGTAGGTCGGGCCTCAATGTGGCCACGTGGAATCTCTCTAATTACACTAAAATATATGGGGGAGCGTTCTATACTACGGCCAGTCGACCGGGAGGAATTCGGACGTAGCTTACTTACCTATATCCAAGGCGACTGGTCCCTCCGGAGTCGGTCAGGTCGCATGTGGTTGTGTAGTGCAAGGGAAATAAAGTGATGTGATGTGTATCTGGGTGTTACTGATGGTAATTGAACCTAGACCTTGGCCGTCGGCAGCAGCCCGGGCGTCGACACCGCTCCAACTTGAGGGGGCCTTCCGAGGCGTTGTCCACAGTCACTTTCCTCGTTCGTCACGATGACGGTCAATTAACTCTATCGTACTGTTAACTAACTTACAGAAGCCACTAACTATCGCTGGGTATAAGGTTAACGCACAAAACGCACACGGAGTTTCTGGATCAAAGGTCACTACCGTTTCGCGTAGCAACAGTTAGTTCTAGAATATCAGAGGCCGCACTAGCTAATATTGCCGAATGCACTTATGCAGATTCTAGTTAGACACTATGTGTCCCTGGGAAGCTCTCCAGTAGGGATGAGCGCCACAAATTCTAGACCGTATTTTTACTATCCGCGCCTTATTATTCCGAGTTCCCGACAAAATTGACAGCGCGCTAACGTCAGCACCGCTTACAGACGACCCCGTCTTTTCGTTCGCGACCCGTGCGCCATTGCCACGCTCGGCCGAACTTCAACCGGTATCGCGCCGAGCCGAGTGACATCTGGCGTCGATTCTTGACAGCGTTTGGCGCGAACAATATATATATATATATATATATATATATATATATATATATATATGTATGTATGTATATTGGTGTGTTTTTGTGTTTATTTCTATTATTTGTTCTATGAATAATTGTAACGTATGAGACAATACTGAGAAACATTTCTTTCAATTAAACTCAAATAATTTCGAGACTAATATCTATCACGTGTAGTCGATAATGCCCGGGGATTTTTCTAATATACAACAATACATTTTTGAAAAGGAAAAATATATCATTTAGCCTTTTTCTTTTTGACCATCCTCTTCCTCCTTCCTTCGACCTTTCAACCCAATTGGGTTGAATGGTATAAGGAAGTTATGGCTAGAGGACAGTAGCGTTTAGTTATTTCAATTGTATATTATACAATTTAAAGGCGGGCAATGCACCTGCAACTTATATAAAAAAAGTTAGTTATAGTCTACTTGCTCGACATCACTGCTGAAAGATATTATCTACATCGTCTCTGTATAATGATTTCTTATATTTACACGAACAATACACATTGAATAAAACTATAGGTGCTAGAAAGCACCCAAAACGTCGGGAATTATAATAATTATAAATAATAACAAACGTATTACTAACGATAAAATCCGTAAAAATTGTTTAATTTAATCGACCCTGTAATAATTTATATCTTAAACACTTAACAAAATAAAAACCCACACGCGAATCTTTTTTAAATAATGATTTATGCAAATATGGCAGAACAATTAATTAAATCATTTCGCGCAAACTTGTTGTTTTAACGAAATATTCAAATGTATATACTTTTGAAATACCCGTGGAACTGGTTCTCTGCGAAACATGGCTAACAACATAAGCATGCGAATGTAGCATGGGAATGTAGATTCAGTACTGCTTGAGTTATTAATATGTACGAGTATTGCCTTTTCATTAATAAATGGCAATGTGTCGCACTCACAACGCAACTCGCGTTTAATATTGCAAGTAACAGCGCTCGTGCAGAGATAAATAAAGTGCCTATGTGTATAGGTGCCAGCCCCTACGATTGTTAGCTTCTGAAAGCTACGCGGACTTTTATCGTAGTAGCTAAGCGGCTTGGTCTAAGTTTTTATAGGACCTAATTACTCACACAAACGAGATTGATGTACGCCGGCACCAATGAAATTGTTAGTCACTTTATTTTTCTACGTAATTCCGATTGTTAAAGGTCAACATGTTTGATAATATATTTTCTACTAGCGATTCACCCTGGCTTCGCATGGGTGATATCAGGATCCCGACAAAAGCGCCACCTACCGGGTCCGAATGTGAATCTAAACTATCCGAGCCGTAGTTTTAGCGAGACTGACGGACAACAGTTAATTTTTATATAATATAGAGATTGAGAACCCCGCCACAGAGTATACATTTTTTTATAGCCTATATTAGCCTATATTCAGCAGTGGACTTATTTGGGTACGTTCCTCGCTCCTCCAGGGCGGCTTCAATTTTTTTAGCAAGGAGGTTTTTGAATGTAACTTATGAAAAATAAATTTAAAATCTAAATTGCAATATAAAATATATACGTCATTCGTTATAAGAACAACATACGCTGGCCGTTACTGACTATAGTATAGTCAGGTGTCGTTCACTGAATCGGGGCTGCAATATTATAATTTTTAAATAGCACCATAATTTATTTATTTTCGATGAATTTATTTAAACCCAGCCGATCATTAACTATTTAGCAAACAATGAAAGAAAAAAAAACGGTGAAAGAATATTCAGTACCCCGTATCGTCCCGAAGTGCCGTAAGAAGCGACAGAGGGAAATAAACCAAGAGAAAGCAGCAGCGTCTTCCTAATAACATACATAATAATACACTCACGCCTGTCACGTAGGGGTAGGCAGAGACTACGGACTTCCATTTGGCACGATCTTCGCACACATCTTTCGCCTCCTTTACGTCCTATTACCTACGCTTACATGTGCGACGGTTAAGGGTTACTCACTCGCCTGCCAAGCATGGCCACTATGTCAAATGTACCCTTCTGGGGGGCAATTTATGTGCTATGTTCCTCAGTGAACTTTGATGAATGAATGAATGAATGAATGAAAAAACAGCGTCACATCCGATCCAGTAACACGCGTCCCACATGCCTAACATTTACGAGTATTTATGCTTTGTTATAGGATAATTTTAGATACAAGATAAGACGCACTCAATTCTTTTCTTGCTCATTTAAATTATAGTCGACATAAAATAAATAGCTATTAATTGTTTTTAGAGCAATGGAAGCGATGTGTGCCGACATGGATAAGAAAACAATTGTATCAAAATAATTACCAACTGGGTCTAATCAACACGGATTCGTTATTGTGCTATGGAATTTTGACTCTTAATATAGGATAAATGTACCTATGGGCCACATCATTCACTTACTATCAGGTGGACTGTGTACTCGATTGTCACACTGACTCTATAAAAAAACAAAGTATGCGGTGTTGGTGACTCACCAATTCTCATCAAGCCCATGAGCAGCACAACGCAGCCGGAGAGGAAGGTGAGCAGGATCACGTAGTCGATGGGAAGGCCGCGGCACGTCTGCAGCGTGAGCAACGCCATCAGGCTCGTGGGACCGATGGACACCTCCTTCACCGTGCCCAGCACCACGTATAGCATCGTACCTGCGTGTTCATTTATTGTTACCACGAGTACTGTACCCTGTAGCGACGATGTAAGAATATCCGCTAGCCCATATCATCCCGTGGGTGTCATAAGAAACAAATCAGGAGATGGGCAGCATAATAGTTAAATACTGCTTTAAGAAAACCCAACTGCGTAAGAAATTTACTAATAAGACCACAGCTTTATTATAAACTAGCTGTTCCGCGCGACTTCACCAGCGTGGATTTTTTTTGCAAGGAACCATAAAACAAACGTAGCCTTAGTTAGTCGTCATAACTTCAGCTATCTGCCGTGATGCGAGTTCACGCCGAAATAGCTCGACTTACTTAACATTTATCTTTATATTTTAGCCAACTTACACAATATTTTTATGAATTAGACGTAGTTAAACAAAAACATCTTCGCGAAGATATCAAAATAAGTAGATCTGTATATTTAACTCATTTTTGAATGACTTGTGTGTTAGAATCCCGCACGGAACAAGAATTTGTACGGCCTACAAATAATTGTTCCGGGTCTGGATGTTTGTCCTCGTGCAATCTATGTTTGTAAACTGCCTCCACGATACAGGAAAAATCCTAGTGTGGAGGTAACGTTTTTTAAAGAAAAGAAAAGAAAAGAAAAGAAAAAGAACGTTTTTGTATTACTACGTCCAATTAAGCTTATGTGTTATTCTGATGTATACGATACCCCCTTTGAAATATGTGATTCGTCGACTTTTATTTTTTTTTTTCTATTTCACAATATGGCGTCTGGTGGTCGCCATATTGAATTTGGATTACAGTCTTGTTTAGTGACACACAAGATTAAGACAAATCGATTAACGTAAGAATCATCAAAATTGACCCACGCGCACGCGTTTGGTCTCTAGAGTGCCACAATATAAGTGTAAGTGCCAAAATATATAGGCTGATAAACACACCTCCTTTACGTCACGCAAACTGATAAAAACTGCGGGTTTTTTAAGCGTGGCAACTATAGCAAATATCCCCCTATGAGGCAATGGGCGAGGCCTATGTTCAGCAGTGGACTTTAAAAGGCTGACTACCGTACGTGAGGATAATATGGTCATCTGGTTAAGATGGTCACTTCGGGCCAAAATCAGTTATTGGATTTTTCTGTCAGGAAATTCTGTAACAGACCGGAGTCAGAATATTACCACTATAGTCCTGTCCTGCGCATATGGCTAGTCAGACTGGCGGCCATGACTAGGGATAGCATATATCAGGATTTGTCCTGACATGTCAAAACTTTTGGGCACTTCTCAGGATTGCAATTAGATGTTAGAAATATCAGGCTTTTTCAAAACTTCAACAAAATACAAAATGGTAGGGATGAAATCTGCGACATTGATCGCGTAATTGTAAAAAGCAAGAATTGATTTATTTAATTTTTCCACAGTAGTTAATTACGTTTGCAACAAATTGACTTTTCTATGGAAATCAGGTTATTTATCAGAACTTTTCAATTTTCCATCTGATAACCCTAACCGTGATCGAAATTCGGTTTAGATGACATTATTTACTTTATTTTAGATGCCATTTTTATACGTGGTAGAGCCATGCTGCAGCTATATTAATAGTATAATTGTAGCACGAATGGGTCGGCTCGACCGGGGAACGCTGTCACAGAATACCAGCGTGGAGTGGCGGCTTAATGCTGATGTGTTTCATGTGGTGAGTGTGGAGAACCGGAGACACATTTTACTGGAAAAGCGGCATTCTATCTTAGTCCTCACGGCTGACAACGCATCTGCATTTTAATTCGCAAACGAAGATAGATGTAGATGTCTATGGGCCACAGCAACCACTTACCATCAGGTGGCCTGTGCTCGTTTGTCACCCTTATTCTATATTTATTATTATTATTATTTAGGCCGTTACTGTATATGTACTGTAACATATGACATAACTTTACGTCATATTATAATGATTGCATCACCAAGTACGTGAATAAACAGTAACCATGACATTTTTAGATATAATCCTGCCGTTGCCGTGCGCTTCTTATGGTTTGTATATTATTCATTTTATTTACCGTAATCTACGTACGTACACATTATAACGGCTGTGTTTATCCTGCATTACCAACGCTAACAAATGAAATTTATTTCTTTTTACATAAATCAAGGATAACCTTAGAGATAATATGACGATTTACAGTCCAATCTGAAAACATCGATGAGAGGCCATTGAAGACATCGACCGAAGATGAGAAATAGTTTCAAAGAATTCAAATTACGAAAATTACATTGATTAAATAACTATGAATAGTTAGGTATTGGATACTGAAACGAAGAACCTTAGTAACTTATGTTTATAAACATATTATTATAGTATTTGGGTACGGGGACTGAGGTGATTGACGTCTCAAAGACATCGGTATTATTAAATGTGAAGTGTTCGCGTAAATATAAGAAATCAAAAATTTCAACGTCATAAATGCCATGCATATATGTACATCTATACGTCCCTAAGAGGCAATCACCGGGTTGTTTGTTACATACTGTATGGAACATATATTGTTTACCTATGGGTCTATTCCTTTTTCATTTTAAAAAATGACAAAAGATTAAAATACGGAGTTTCTTTCGACGTTTTTTTCTCTGGACAGTTGTTGATTGTTAAATAGGTTCAAAGAGTATACGTAAGTTTTATCCTTGTTTTGAAATATTGTATTGGATTAAAAACATGTTGTTGACCTTTGAAAAACTTTTGCACGTCAAAAAATAACGAGTATTCACCCAGGTTTTCACTAGTATTCCATGTCACCCCTATAAGTTCAATCTATGTTCAGTAGTAGAGCTTCGATAGGCTGTAATGAATAATGATGATGATGATTATTATTAAATACAAACCAATGAATGCTGAATAGAGGCCGTACTGCACGGGCAGGTCGGCAAGCGAGGCGTAGGCGATGCTCTGCGGCACGAGCGTGAGGCCGAGCGTGATGCCGGCCACCAGATCGGCTACAGCGGCTGTGCGCTCGTAGCTCCGCGTCCAGCGAAGCACCGGCAGCCTCCGCTCCAGTACCGCGCGCCAGCCGTTACCCGTCTTGCGGCGCAGCCTCAGCGGCGTGCCCTCCTCTGTATCCATTTGAACTTAGTTACAGACCCACTCTTACACTGCAACCCTTACGCAATCTGCTCTGCCTATACTCAAAGGCTTATCCCACCCAGAACCTGTGAGCGCTTGCTCGCCCCGATGAGTGCCTTAAAACTGGCGGAACACTTAATATTATCTTTAGTAGGAACCTTTCTGCATTGAGAGCAAACAAGATAACGTGAGATCGGCTACTACCTCCGTGTGAGGTGATCCTTATTCTAATTTAATAATAACTGAATGTAGTTCGTTATCAATGAAACAAACATAAGGTTTAATTGGTGCTGTTTATGCGGCTACAGCCTACAGCCTCTCTGACAAGTTACGTCGTGATAAAGATGTATCCGCGTGTTTGCACAAGATTGTTTTTTATAAATAAAAATTGTTATCTATTTGCGAAATATCATCTTTGTGACAACAAAATAGAAAGGTACAACAAATTACGTTGTTAAAATATCTCCGACTTATTGTTTGATGTTATAATAAAGTTTCTCGGGCTCATGCGTCATAGTTGTGAATAGGTACTGCTTGTGGATTGGTCTGCTCGGGCTTGCTACATATTTATTTAAACTTTATTTATGCATGTTTTTTATTGTTGTGTAGTTTTTTGAAGAACATGCTTTTATTACCCATAGGTAAAAACACCCATAGGTTTACTTCTTTTTATTTTTGTTAAGAATATTGTACCATTGGCCTCTAAAAATGATAACAAACAAAGAGGATACCTGCGGAGAATTTTTTTTGAATTTTAATTTCTTACATCGAAAAATAAAGACAATTTATTTAATTAAATTTTTTTTCATTCAATAATATATTTTCTGATTTCGCTAGCTATAATTTATAAATTATAACAATAATTTATTTTTATTTTTGTAAGCCTTTTTTTAGTATATCGTTGGACATAGGCGTATTTGTAAATGTGTCAGGTGTGCATTTCCAAAAAGCTGTAATACTTCACCACGCTCGTTTGGTAAACCCAAAGCGCACAGCTGACACTGTCGCACTTGAATTACATTATTTTTATTTTATTTTTATTTTTCATTGGAAAGATGTTACTCTCACATGACACTTTTCTTTTCTTTCTTTTTTCCTTAAGTTTGGGTTTAGCATATTTTGATGGTTTTTCCACCATCAGTTAGTCGTCAGAGTTTCGAACTCACTCTACATCAACAATTAAATTTCAGTCCCAGTTCAGATGCGTTGATCGCTTTTAGCGATCGTTTTAATTTTATTATTAAAATAAAAATTGGCTATCCTTAACTTTAGTAGTTTAACTTGAGAGGGACACAAAAACAGGAAGTGCATCTTTCTGATAATAACTCAAAAGAATAAATTGCGTTTGTCTATACGCCTACAAAGCGTGACAACTTTGTCAAAATCTGGGATTTACAAAAACCCTATGGGGCAATGTTTGAAGGAGACCTTACGTTCAGCAGTGAAGTTATATAGGCTATTTTGGATGGATGGAATGGATAGATGGATGGACTATCACACCTAATCGAGTCAATCTTCTGTCTTCAAAGTCACTACGGGTTTGGGTTGGTACACTATATTATGTTAGACCCTGTAATGTTAATTATATGAGATATTAACATGTTGTCGGTATTGTCATCAACTGGATGTTCGCATGCCTGGAAATACTTTTATTACTGTTACACATTACATAAATAACTTTGTTTTTCCGAAAATATATCTTAATGCCGTTAAGCGATATACTTAAACATTTTTCCAATCCAAGTGTATTTTTCAAACAGTGCAGTGTAGATTTTTCAATAAAGGGATGCAAGACAAGTGTGTGCAATTGCGTTTATGCAAATGATTTCGAGATTTTGATATCTTGCGTAGATTTCTTCCTTCCAAAAAATGGATACAAACGACCATTTCAATTACATATAATTTTATGAGCAAAACCATACACATACCTATCATTTCATCGCTGTCTGAGGAGTGCAGGCTCGCCAGCGTCTCCACGGATGGCGAGGGGCTGCTCGAGTGGCGGCCGCAACGTTGCCTCATTACTCTCATTGCTGTCTCGTGGAGTTTTAGAGCTGAATCAGAAACTGTAGTAAATAACTTTATTAGTAACTTATTTAAATCAAACTTATTTAGATCAATTTTACTCTCAAGTTGAGCCGTTTATATCTAGCAAGCAGCATGTTTTCGTAAGAATACAAAAATTAGTTATGTGAGGTTTTCGCCATGGGTGGGCTGGTTGACGCTGTATACACCAATTTTACAAAAGCTTCCGACGAAGTAAATCATACTTTACTCTGAAAAAAAAATTAGCTATGTTGGGTATTCGTGGAAATCTAGTGCTGGGTTCATTTTTACCTCAATAATAATAATCTTTACTCAATAATAAGCCAAGTTATCGCACTCAAAGATTTTTTTGTGACATAATATGTCACGTTAAAATCTGGTGTTCCTCAAGGTTCACATCGCGGTCCCTTATTCTTTATTATTATTTTAAATGATCTGATTTGTAAACTGTCCACTTCTTGACTTGAAAATATACCGTGTAATACAGCAGACATCTGACTGAGGCAAACTAAAGGATGGTTTTATATCAATCTCTGAATGGTGTCAGCATAACGGTATAAACCTCAATGCAGAAAAAATAGCATCATCATCATCATCATCATTACAGCCCTTCACAAGTCTCTTGCTGAACGTAGGGAGGCCAAGGAATGCCACAAAGCACGGTCCCGAGCCACCTGCATCCATTGACTTCCTGTATGTCTTACCAGGTCGTCACTACATCTAGTGGCCGGACGCTTTAAACTTCGCCTGCCAGGCTGCCACTCGAGAATCCTTCTGTCCCATCGGTTGTCGGTTCTTCGAGCTATATGGCCGGCCTATTGCCACTTCAGCTTACTGATCCTTTGGGCTATGTCGATTACTCTGGTTCCACTGCGGTATATGGTTATGTATATGGTTTCCATAGCTTCCTGAGCGACTTTGAGCTTCCTCATACGGTCAGCAGTGAAGAAACACGTCTCAGATCCATAGGTCATCACTGACAATACGCACTGGTTGTAGAATCTAGTTTATTTCGAATCTTTTAGCATAACGTTCACCAATGAGAGATATACACATACTTATAGATTTAACGAAGAGACGTTAGACAGGAAAACAGTTAACTAAAGACCTGTGATCTCTACGAGTATGTGATCGTGAGCAGTATGCATACATTACATCTCTCTGTAGTTAGATAGGTTTCATACTCTGGTTCTGTACTCGGATAACCATCGTAGCCTTACTGTACAAACACTTCAGCATTTATACACGATATACCGATAGTCAACTTGGCACCGCTGAAGGGACTGCAGCACTGCCCAAATTTCGACGGAATCAAAAGCTTTCTCATATTCCACATACGCCATAGTGGCAAATTGTACTCCTCGGACTTCTGTACAATTTGTTGAAGGGTATGTATGTGGTCTATGGTGCTTAAGCCTTTTCGGAATCTGGCTTGTTCGGGAGGCTGGAAGTCATCGAATCTGCGTGCAAGATGATTCGTAATGAATTTCGAAAACAGCACATAGACGCGGCTCAGAAGGGAAATTGGTCTGTAGTTCTTCAAGAAAGCATTGTTGCCTTTCTTGAAGAACAAGACCACCGAACTTCTGGTCCACGCCTCCGGAGTAGTGCTACCATGGAAGACACTATTAAAGAGCTTCTTAAAGACTTTTTTCCACCCGATTTCAGAAGCTCTGCTGTAATTCCATCCTGCCATTTTTAAGTTGCTGAAGAGGGATTCTAATCTCGTTCAGACTGACGACCGGGATATAATCAGAATGGTGTCGGATAAGACTTGCTCTTGGATCCTTACTCACACTTGCGTGTGGCTCCAACGATGATGTTTACAGCTGCCCATAGAACCTCTCAATCTCACTCAAAATCTCAGGTGTCCTGGAAACGACGTTGCCATATTCGGTAGTCAGCTTCGACAGTTGGCTCTTTCTGGCAGACAGATCTCTGGTAAAGACTTTGGAGCCCTGGTTCCGCTCGATCGCTTCTTCAATACGAGCTGTATTGAAGTTGCGTAAGACCCGCCGCATGCAATTGGAGATCTGTCTGTTGAGTTGCCTGTATGCTGTCAAATCTGTTGAAGACTGCAGCTTCATTTCCCGTCTAACAGCCATGAGATAAAGAGTGTGATCGGAGTTTTTGTGTTCTTCTGCGACGGGTCTTGCAGTACTTAACTCCATTCCACAGACAGTTTCCACGAGCTTGCCATTCATATCGTCCACTGCATTGCAATTAGAGCACGAGAGGGACGGAGCGTTGGCTTCATTAGCCATCATCTCTCCAACTTAACATTTAGGTTCAGTGTGCTTTTCACAATTCGGTGATCACTGCCAGTATTCACCCTCGCGATCACTGAGACATCACTGAACAGTAGCCGTCTAGTCGTCATAATGAAGTCAATCTCATTTTTTTGTCTAACCGACGGGGCTCGACCAGGTCCACTTCCTGTGGGGCCGCTTGTTGAAAAAAAAGTACCTCATAAAGAGTGCCTCTTTCTCCAAAAAGTCGGCCAGATGCTGGCCCCTTGGGTTGCGTTACCTTATCCCAAATGTCCCTATTTTCAGCTTACCGTTCTCTCTTGTGCTTAGTTTTGCGTTGAAGTCTCCCATAAACACCGTATAGTGGGTTTTAGAGGAATGCATGTCTCTAGAGATATCCTCATACATTTCCTACACCTCCTCATCGGGGTGTGCCGAGGTTGGTGCGTAAACCTGTATGCCCTTCAGCGAATACCGTTTGGTGATTCTGAGTATAAGGTACGCAATCCTCGTCGACACACTCCCAATCTTTACGACGTTGTTAACGAGAGACTTGTGGACGATAAATCCGACACCTCCTTGGGACAGATGGTCGCCCTCCCGATGATAGAGTAAGTTGCCGGATTCTAGGATTACCGTGTCCTCCCCCTCTTTTCGGACCTCGGATAATCCTATAATATTCTAGCGCAGCTTGTCTATCTCTTC